AGTTACCCAAACTCCAAAACAATAGTGTTTAATAACGAAGAATTGGAAACTTTAAAAACCATCAAATCTAAACTTGCCAACGTAACAATACTGCCATATCCAGATTCAAAATGTACAAAATGCCACTTAGTTACTGACAGTTCTGCTTACGCCATAGGTGCAGCACTGCATCAAGTAGTTGACTGTACCAATCGGTTTCTACTCTAAAAAGTTAACTGAACCACAACGTAACATTTCTACATTTGACAGAGAACTACTAGCAGCGTACCTTGCCGTCATCCATTTTAAACATTAGATTGAAGGAAGAAATGTAACTCTATTTACAGATCACAAACCATTATGCGCTGCCTACAAAAAGAAAACATCATTAAAGTCAGACGTCAACATCAGACGCAAAATCTACTAAAACACCAGAAACAGCAACAACATCAGGCACAACAACAACACAAGAAACAAGACCGACAACAACCACATCGGAACCAACAACCCAACACTCCAGAAATGGGAGACGAATAACATTAAACAAACGAAATGAATATTTTTAAACGGCTTCGCCTTTTGTGGAGTAGTATTGTAGGGATCAAATTCATTTATTAACTATCTTATATATTAATTATTATTAAAGATTATTGCAATTTTCAATGTCACCTAATCTATGTTAATTTTTATTTCTTTGCTTCTCTCTCGATCTTCTTTCTTTTTCCTGAGAGCTTGTAAACGAGACGGTTCGAGATTCACGTTAGAATAAAGTCAACATTTATTTTACGTCTGAATTGTGTTTGTTTTGTCTATTTTACTTCACAACAAGGTGTCTTGTTAGTAGCAGACCGCTTGTACTAACAATCTAATCAACCACGTAGATGACTTCACGATTTCATCCTCTGGCTCACTTATAGAACCAATCACAACTGTTTTCATAAACCTAACCTTCTTTTTCCATAATGGCTCCCTCCCAACCACAAAATTGACAGTTACACTCTTCCCGCCACACAAAAGAAGCCATCATCCATCCCCATGTAGTCATAAATAATACAAACTTGCTACTCAAAAAGCAGCCACAATTATTCGGCATCAACTTTGTCACCTTTTTTTTTACATTACATCCACATTCACAAACAAAAGCAAAGAAATGCCAACAAAAAAAACAAAATCCTTAAATCTTTAAATTGCACCAATTGGGGACCATAAAAATCTCCCGACCTATCATCAACTACGCAACACCAATCCTGTTACCCAACATATCTCACATCAACCCGCAAAAATTACAAAATTCACCAGAAAACCAAGGTGTTAAAAAAACTACCACCGATCAATCAAAGCATTCAATTTGAACAACAAATACAGTAATTTGCCAATTGAACGCTTAATTAGAAAAAATATAAATTAAATTGAAATAAGCAAATTTAATATTCAAACAAGAACTTTGACTTCAATTATTATTATTAGATTTATAAACCGCTTTTTAAAAAAGATCTCAAAAGCGACAACAATGACTAAATATAAATAAACATAAAGTATAAATAGTTACCAGTTACAAACATTGGTTGAACATTATGGTCATAACGATATATCCATGGTCATAACAAGATTCAATAAAACGATACAGAAAAATGCGAAATAAAAATCGTAAAAAATTCTCAAAATTAGATTAACTGGTTGAAATATTTCAGATGAACATTTCAATAAGATTGGTGAAAACTCGACAAATAAACAATAAACCAACAAAGTTTATTAAATCTAACATAATATAAAGACCCGAAACATTTATAATTTGATTGGTTAAGTAGGTCATTAAAACGTAACGACGGTTGGAAAAATGTTAGTAATAAACTAAGGTTTTTCAGAATATATTATAATCTGTCTATACATATGGTTTGATAGTCGCCCTGTAAGATTATAAGATGAGAAGACCGCGTTGAAATAAAGTATCGAAAAGCCACAATAATTTCCAATTTAAATAAATTTCTAGCTTAAATATGCAAGATAAGTGCTTTTGCAGAAATAATGTTAAAAGAAGCGAATTAAGCGATACGGATGATTCCATGCAGTATATTTGAACCGACATCTTTTGATTGTCCGGGTTGTTGACCCCCCAAGAAAAAGTCGATATCTCCTACAAAACATTGAAAGAATAATTTAAAATAGGTAATGTAAAATCAAAGAATCAACGTAGTAACAACATACAACTAAATTGATTCGAAGCGTCATTTCTAAACATCATTCTCTAGATCTAAAACTTAAAATTTGAATGTCATATTATATCCAAGTCTACTATAACAATTTTACGTTAACATTAACTTTGGAATATTGATCCCATATCACTATTTTTGATTATATAAGATCCTTAAAAATTTTATTGCTTTTTGTAGTGCTCGTCATAAATAAAGAGGTTTTACTATTAAGCATGAAACATGTTTCTAAGGTTTTCAACACCTCCCTTAGAAATATAAAATAAAAAAAAAATAACTTTAATATAAAATTTTATCATCAAACTAGCTGACTCTGAGTACTTCGTAATGCCTTAAGAAATAATAAATATTGCGTTTCATTGAAAAGGATAGATAAAACAAAGTGAAATAATAAACATCACATCTTTCTCGCAGGTGTACCCTGTCCAATATCTGATCCATGCAAAAGTGAAGATGTTAGTTAATTAAGTTATTCAAATGTTTAATGGTGAGTTAAAAAGCATTGTTGACAGATGTGATTGAGTTATGAGAAGGGCAAATGTGCTGCGTCTTGGATTGATGATGATTGTCTACGGGCTAAACGAAACAGCAGAAAGATGGAAAGGTTCTACGGGAAATGTCTATCAAGTTTGCATCAAGATAATTACGTTAACTAACTCCTTAAAGAATAAATGATAAGCTTTATTCAGATAAACGAACTATGTGTAAGAATAATTCAATCAAGACCGCCAGCAGTTTCTAGGAAAGGTGGCATATTGCTGAAAAAAATTTATTTAGTAATAGCATGTCGGACACAGATGTCAAACATACACCTCATGAATTTTTGCGATATTTTACGGAAGTTGAAAAAATGATTTAATCTACCAAGTCTACCATCTTTTCCGGAGATCACTGAATATGAGTTCAAAAAGATCATTCTTGATTCACCGTCTAAAACATGTTCACTTGACTAATGCCAGCATACATTTTTTTAAATATTTTGAATTTTTCATCAGTTTTCTAACCATATGAAAAATCTATGCTTGAGCAGTCTATGGTTGTGACGTCTATGATTTGTTGACATTCGTGTACGTCGTCGCTTTTTGGCCATTCCGGGCTACGGAAATGGTTTCGGATTGTATTATTGTTAAATTTAATTGTCAACGTTGTTAAAGTTTGACGTCGACCGGAAAGCTCAAGCCAAGGAACGATTCCAGCTTATTATCACTCACAACGAACAATGTGACCGCTCTTACTCCATAGTTTCCTCTCGTAAAAAGTACTTCCAGTGTGTTGAATGTGGGATACTTTTTCCATCTACACAGTTCTACCTCCATACATTCATCAACAACTACTCAATAAACGTTAAACGAAACATCCGAGGCATTTTTAGTGGCAGGGTAAATCTAGAACTTTCGACAACAGCAACCAAGCGCATCTGATGCTATGCATAGGGCACCGAATAAATAAAATAATATTATTAATATCTTTTTTTGCAGTTGGGTAGTTCCAACCTATTTTAAACACACCATGGTTATTCCAATTTTGAAAAAGTTGGCTGTAACAGTAAGAAGATTGCAAACTAAAGACCAATTTCTAATTTGCCGCCTCTTTAAAAACCATGGAGTGTGTTGCCATGAGTTGTCTACTATACCACTTGACAAAAAACAGTCTAATACCAATTCATCAATCTGGATATCGGCAGTTCCACTCCACTGAAACTGCTTATTACACGTTTTATCTAAATTTTCTGATGATGATGTTCAAAACATATTGGTATTTCTTAGATATGTCATTGACATTTGAATGTGTCGAACACGATATTTTTTTGATGGGATTGTGCTCCAGCTATGGTGTCTCAAGTGCTGTTCACGAATGGTTCAAGTCATATCTCACGAACCTAACTCAACAGGTTGCATTTAAAAAACTTAGTGTCTGATGTAGCTTTGGTTTCATCACGGATGCACAAGATATATATAAGATAATAAGCTCGTACGGATTTGCTTGTCACATACAAATATGGATCCCCAGTCCTCCAAGGGTTTTCAGAGATGAGGCCAACAGATATAATGAATGTATGATAAAAGTGGGCCAAAAATCTCATTGAAGTTAAATCAGAATAGGTTAGCATATCTTTCAGTATGACAGCTTCCTATGTGGGTGTTCTGCTTGATAATAAACTATCGATGAAAGACAACATTAAAATGATTTCAGTCTCCTGTATTATTTACCTAAAAATTTTATATTAAGATTGAAAAACAATGGAGAATTCGGTTCATGCTCTCAAATCATCACGACTGGACTACTGCAATAGTTTGTTCTATGAATTGCCTAGCAGATCAATTGCAATCCTTCAGTCTGTCCAGAATAGGGCTGCAAAACTAGTGACAGGCAAATTAAAATTTGACTAGGTAACTTTAATCTTAAAAGAACTTCACTAGTTGATAATTGAAAAAGAAATAATTTTTAAAATTGCGGTAATTACGTTCAGATCATTAAATGGTATGTCACCAAAATATATCTCATATAAATTTTCAAAAATAGTAGCTGCACCATGCTCTCCTCTAAACTCGGATAATATTAATCTACTGTTACAGTATGATTCGAGAGACATTGCTGTTTCGGCCCGACTGTCTGGAACGGCCTGCCGGCTTCATTAAGAAGACCTGGACTTTGTTTTGCAACAATTTTTAAAAGAATTGAAAACATTTTTATTTTTTGTGAAAATAGCATGAATTTGTATATAATTGTACATTTTAGTTTGTCTTGACAACGCACTGTAATGGTTGCTCATTTTAATCCTGATAGCGTCTTTGCATGGTTTAATTGGCGTTATATAAATTTTTCTATTTTCCTAATAAAGTGTTGTAATTTATTACTTAGTTTATTAATTAAATTAACAAAATCTTTGATAATATTCATTTTATTGCTATTAATTTAAAAATAACATATTAAAATACAAATAAATTAATAAAATATATTAAATAAAAACTATTAAAATTAATTTAATTACTACAAAAAAGCTTCATGTCAGTTTGGTGAAGCTGCTGTTCGAGTTTTGTTGTCATCGGCCACGTCTCTGCACCATACATCAGAACAGAACGCATAGCTTTTTGTTTAGTCCTGAGCGCAGCGGTAGCTGAATACTACGCCGTATCAGCACCGAGGCAAGGAAGTGCCATCTGCCCAACGCCGCACGTATGCGTTCACGAACGGCGGCATCAGCTGTTTTAGTACAATCAAGCACATCTCCCAAATACTGAAATGAAGTAACAGTTTCGATTCCGATAATCGTATCATCATCCGGGCCCCATTGCCGCGGGTTGATGCATGCGGGGCATACGAAATCAGTCACTTTCCTCAGTGAGCCGGTAATTCTCAAGCATCGTCTGTGACACCACTGCTGACATCGTAGGCATTTGATCGAGTTGCTTCCAACTCCAGCCCCACACACCAAACAGAGACCACAGGCTTAGCGGTACCATCGGTGGTCATAAATTTTGTTTTGTCAAAATTTACTTTTAGCCCGTGTTCGGCAAGCTGGGTATTCCAGACCTCAAACTTTCTGGCTGCGTCTTGTTCCGAGACCACCGTAAGGACGATATCATCTGCATATATCACATTCCATAAGTTATCTGAGTGTATCGGTTTGGTTATTTCTTCCATTACTGTGATGAAGAGCAGGGGGTTGAGTATTGATCCCTGGCGGACGCCGACGTTAATGCCAAATTCATTCGTGTTACCTGCTGTTGTGCTGACCAGTTTTTGTGTTAGAGTACGTTGCCATAACCAGCCGAACCAGATATTCGGCGAGAACAAGCTGTCTACGTAGACTCCACCTGATTGCCTCACGAGGTACTCTGTCAAAAGCCTTTTCCAAGTTCAAAAAAACATAGAACAGTCGCTTTTGCGTTGCCAAGTATTATATTTTTCCTGTATTTGACAAATGATATAGATAGCATCAATAGTGAATCTCTCTGCCATGAAGCCGTACTGTCAACCCCCTATTGAAACGCACGGCAACAGTCTTCTCTCAATGACTTTTTCACTGACTTTCAATGGGTGTCCCACAAAGCCTATACCCGATATGAGGAGCATTTCAGTGGGTCTCCTTTTCTTTTATATATCGGCACAGTTGTGCTACTGTTCCATTCCACTGGTAGTTTCGATTTACTCCACATCTCCCGACAGATGTGTAAGAGGGCTCTGAAGCCTACCCCAACAGATGCCTTGATGATATCATTTGTAAGTGCAGACGAACCAGCCGCTCTACCCACCTTCATTGCCTTCAACGCATCAGTAAGCTCCTCAGCTGTGATGTCCTAAATCGGTTCTTCCACCGCAAAGGCATCAAAGTCCATGCAAATAGGGTTTGTTTCATTTAATTACTGATCAAAGTGATCCTTCCAGTAATCCTTCACCTCATTCTGCAAGGTTATTATTGTGCCTTTATTATTCTTTATGCATGTGACACTAACTATATCCTTTTTCAATCTATGGCCTGATTTGCTATTCGGTGGAGTGACCGAATTTATTCGCCTTTACTTTCAGTCAGCCATAACTTGCATTGATTTGCACGAGCTATAGCAACCTGACTTTACGCTTCTGTGTTCTTTGATCGGTATGTCTTTCGATCTTCATCAGTCTTCGACTTTTACCATTGTTTGGAAGCTGCTTTCTTACTGGCAATAGCATTCTGCACCATCTCATTCCACCACCAAGTTTCGCGATTGTGGTGGCGTTTTAGTCCAGATTTTCCATATACAGCTGTTGCAGCGTTTACTAGGGTGTCCTGAAAAGATTTCCAAGTTATGTCTACCTTCTCCAGACGATCCAGCTGTGTCGATACCAACTTCTCGAATTTCTCCTTGAACATGAGGTTCTTCAGTTTTCATGGCTTTATTCTAGTAAACATTCGATCAGTCACAGGGCAAGATCGTTCAATGATAATATAGTCCACCAGCAATCGATGTTGAGGGATGCATGCTTCTCTTGGAATGACTTTTGTATACCTGAATAGTCGTCTGTGTTGTTGTCTGACAAGAATAAAGTCAATTTGTGTGCATGACATCCCGCTTTTATATGTGATCAAATGTTCTGCCCTCTTCTTGAAGTAGGTGTTCAACAAGAAAAGTTTATGGCTTTCAGCAAATTCCAGAATCCGTACACCGTCTTCGTTTTGAGACCCGTAGCCAAAGCCTCCATAGACACCGTGGAACCCATTTGCTTTCTCTCCAACATGGCCGTTGATGTTGCCACATATCAATGGTGGAACCCATTTGCTTTCTCTCCAACATGGCCGTTGATGTTGCCACATATCAATGGTATCTCTCATGATAGCGTTTTCCTGACGGAATCTGAGAGTGTGTTTCAGTAGTCATTTTTGGCGTCTTCAGATTCATATGCAGAAAAAACAGTCAGAACCTGTTTTCCCATTCTGAGTTTAAACAGCATTAGGTGTGAGCTGATTCAAGTCACCTCCAGTACATTTTGTGCCAGTAATTTCCGTATGAAGATTCCCACTCAATTTTTGGCTGTCTTTTGGCCATTCCAGAACACCTTGTAACTCCCAATGAAAGAAACACCATTTGATTTCCATCTTGTTCCCTGTAGATAACAGATGTCAACTCTTCGCCTTTCCAGCATGTCGACGATCTCTATAGAGCGTCCAGTGAGCGATCCAGTATTTAAAGTGGCAATTCTGATATTCCAGGAGGGGACGCCCTATATTCCGCAACATCCTTTTCCTGTTCATCTAAACCAGCACGACGCAGGATTTCGGTAGATTTGATGTGGTCCTTCAGACTAATTCGTTGCAGCCATCGGAGCATTTTCATGTCGGTTCGTTGATTTTGTTGTTCCAGTTTGGTTGTCATTGGCCATGTTTCTGCACCATATAACAACACCGGACGTATCACAGATTTATAAAGTCTTGATCATAGTAGTAGTGGCATTTCACGCAGCATTAATATAGAGGAAAGAAGATGCCATTTATTCCAGGCTGAACGTATGCGTTCTCGAACGGCAGCTTCAGCTGTTCCAGTACAATCCAAAACATCCCCTAGATTTTGAAACGATGTGACTTTCTCTACCTTAATGGCTTCAAAAACAGTGCTATTTCGTATTTGTTGTTGTGGATTGATGCAAGCAGGACAAACAAAATTGGACACTTTATATAAAGTGTCAATTATTTTTGATCATCATTTGTGACTCTACTGGTTACACTGCTGACACTTGATCAAATTGTTACCTACACCAGCTTTACATACTGAACAGGGCCATCGTTCAGTAGCTGTAGATTGGATGAGTTCACCAGTGTTCATTGCTTTGGTTTTACTGATGTTGACTTTGAATCCATGATCGGCGAGTCTGGTGTTCCAATCTTCAAACATCTGTGCTGCATTCTGCTCAGACGTGGCTGTTAAAACGATATCATCAGCATATACTAGATTCCAAATGTCACCAGTGCGTATCGGTTTTGTGATTTCTTCCATCACAGTTTAAATAACAGTGGACTGAGAATCGAGCCTTGGTGAACTCCAACGCCGATGGCAAATGCATCTGTGTTTCCAACCGTTGTACTGAGAAGAGTCTTAGTATTCGTATACATTTCCATCACAAGTCGAACAAGATATTCTGGAATGAGTTGTCGACGTAGACTCCACCTGACTGCTTCACGGGGAACTCGATCAAATGCTTTTTCAAGGTCTACAAAAATGTGTGATAGTTGTTGATGCATTGCGAGGTACTTCTCTTGCAGTTACCGACGGATGTGAATTGCATCAACTGTTGATTTCCCTGCTATAAAATCAAATTGATAATTTCCGATTGTGATGCACGACGTTAATCTTCTCTCAATGATTTTTTCGACAATTTTCAGGGAGTATTCTAACAGACGTATAACCCGACACTGGTGACACTGGTGATGATATATGCTGATAATCTGGAAGCCAGTGCACCCCAGCATGAGGTTATATATATATATATATATATATATATACATATATATATATATATATATATGTATATATATATATATATCTTCAAACGTAATGCTGGATGGTCAACGAAGTTTTTTTTACCTTCACGACGTAAATTGTATAGTTTTGAAACGTCGTTTTAGACATGCATCTATCACCTAAATACTTCGCGGCGAGTCCATTTATGACCTTAAACATTAGAAGCGAAATTTTAAATGTAACTCTTTTATCAATCTTCAACTAACGTAGTTCTCGAAATATTGGAGTCACATGGTCATATTTTGCAGCTCCCACAACAAGCTTGGCAGCACGGTTCTGAATGAGCTGAAGCGTAGCTATCATTTTTTCGGGTAGCCCAAAAAACAAACTATTGCAGTAATCTAACCTTGCATGTACAAATGCATTGATCAAACTTTACAATATCTTCTTGAAGCGATCTTTTAACTATGCTCAACAAGCGCAACTGATTCAAGCAGGAATTTGTAATGAATTTCACGTGATGATGCATTGCCAGCCGTGGGTCAAGGATGCAACCCAAGTTGACAGCCTTGGAAGAGAATTTAATCTCCTGATCATTAATGATAGCTGAATCAATTTTAATCCTTGAGAGTTATTGCCATGTCCCAATTGGCATCAATTGCATTTTACATTGATTCAACTTTAAACGGTTGCTAGACATCTAAACATCTATTTTCGTCAAACATTCAATGAATTTGTTCAGCATAACTGGGAATTTACTGGCTGGCCCACTGACTATGATTTGGATATCATCAGCATAAGCGTGACTGTAGAAACCAAATGAATCAATTAATTGAAAAAAAATATCTGCCGTGTGTAAAACAAATAATAAGGACCCTAAAACTGAACCTTGTGGCACACCGGTAACGACCGGCTGCCTGTCAGACAAATTGTTGTTGAACAGCACTTGTTGCGTTATATATATATATATATATATATATATATATATATATATATATTTATAGATATATATATATTTGGGTTTAGATTATCATAAATACAATTATTTATAAAGATCACTGCGTTTTTGGCATTATTCAACTTATAGTTGAGTTTCTCAATTTTTCTAACGAGACTTTTAGCATCTTGATGAAGTTTATTAACGTTAATTATCTTTTTCATTATTTTTTCATCTGTTTTATATGATAAGGACATACTATTTTTATAATAACCAACGAACCAACTATATAACTACACTGATGATGGCAGTTGATGCCGAAAAGAGCTTTTCTGTAGTAATAACGCTATTAATAATGTTTTGTCAAAAATGTCAAATATTAAAAGTTTTTTATTTAACCTTAATAAATTTCATCAAGATGATAAAAGTCTCGTTAAAAAAATTGAGAAACTCAACTACAAGTTAAATAATGCTGAAAACACAGTGATCTTTATAAATAACTATATATATATATATATATATATATATATATATATAATAATTGAATAATTGTATATATATATATATATACAATTATTTATAAAGATCACTGCGTTTTCGGCATTATTCAACTTGTAGTTGAGTTATACAATTATATATGTATATACAACAACACACGTTTAGACGACATTTTCCCCGAGATCGGGGGTTGACGTTTGGCTACCTATGATGAAACCATTGTCACTTCTGTCATCATAAGTAATTTATTTGGCTAATTTTTACGCAGGACGCCCTTCCTTACGCAACCACAGTTATAAGCGGTGGGCCTAGCCTTTGATGATCCAACATCACTCACAAGGCAGTGAGGGTCAGTTTAACGTCATAACCTGGACATACAATTATATATGTATATATACAATTATTTATAAAAATCACCGCGTTTTCAGCATTATTCAACTTGTAGTTTAGATTTTCGATTTTTCTAACGATATAGATGTAACGATATATATATATATATATATTTATATGTTGGTAATAGACCATATTTTTACAATATTCTATAAATTCTACCGAATGTTTGGCGTTAATATGTTTGTAGTTCGTTTTTTTCGATTTTTCTCACTAAAGTTTTTTGGTGAACGATTAGTTTACTAAAATTCAAAATCAATCAATCTTCGTTTTGTGTCCAGAGACCCGGTTTCCCGAGGTAAGACGTTGTTTTCTTTGCCATCAAACGATCAGTTGTATCCATTTCATTTAAATTTAGAGCTTTCATGTCTTGCTCGATTGCTTGCGACCAGGACTTCTTTGGACGGCCTTTGGGACGTGTGCCAGGTACTTCAACATCTGCAAGAGAAGTTATGGCACTGTTTCTACTTCGTTTGACATGACAACACCACTGCAGAAGGTGTTGCCGGCATTCGTCCTTTAAATCATCTAAACCAGCACGACGCAGGATTTCGGTAGATTTAATGTGGTCCTTCAGAATAATTCGTTGCATCCATCGGAGCATTTTCATGTCGGTTCGTTGAAGTTGTTGTTCCAGTTTGGTTTGTCGGTTGGGTAAAGCACAGGTGGTGCAATATTGGTACAGAAGACGGCTGGAACCGAAGGAGTCAACCCCACATAACACCAGTGTTCGAAGGATTCTACATTGTTGTCAAGTGAAGAAGTTGAAACAGTATCCGCTCGTACGTGGTCAGAGCACTGGCAGGAACAAGTCTGCATACTAACCTCAAACTTTAACTTTTATTTTAGTTTTCTTTATTGACATTGTATATTTATTTGGTATAGTTTTCAGTTTACAGATTAAAATTTTTTTGATTTGTGTCTACGCCTCAACCTTGCCGCTAAGCTAAGCAATAATTATTGCTGCGGGGTAGGACGGCGCGTCGGGTAAATAAAGGCTGGTCTCGTCAGACAGAAAAAAAAGTTTATTTTATTGTAGAAAACTGGTTGGTAGAGTTGGTTAATTTCTTTGTAGAAAATTAGTTGGTAGAATTGGCGTTTTTGTTGGTGAGAAATTGGACACGCAACCGTGTTTGGTGAAGTAGCTGTTGGTTGGTAAAGTATTATTGGGAGAAGTTTCATTTGTTGGTACGTGGGTGGTAGTTAGTCAGTGGTTAGACGGGAGAGCTGGAAATACGGTACGGGGTTGTTACGAGCTCAACGACGACAAACGTAAGGTAGCGAACGAAGTAGTTATCTGTTGCGTTGGAGGGTGGCGAACGAGGTAGTTGCCTTTCAACGTAACAATAACGTTTGTCGGTTGGGTAAAGCACAGGTGGTGCAATATTGGTACAGAAGACGGCTGGAACCGAAGTAGTCAACCACACATAACACCAGTGTTCGAAGGATTCTACATTGTTGTCAAGTGAAGAAGTTGAAACAGTATCCGCTCGTACGTGGTCAGAGCACTGGCAGGAACAAGTCTGCATACTAACCTCGAACTTTAACTTTTATTTTGGTTTTCTTTATCGACATTGTATATTTATTTGGTATAGTTTTCAGTTTACAGATTAAAATTTTTTTGATTTGTGTCTACGTCTCAACCTTGCCGCTAAGAACCCGCTACGTATGCGTGTTCGAACGGCAGCTTCAGCTGTTCCAGTACAATCCAGAACATCCCCTAGATATTGAAACGATGTGACTTTCTCTATTTTAATGGCTTCAAAAACAGTGCTATTTCGAATTTGTTGTTGTGGATTGATGCAAGCAGGACAAACAAAATTGGACACTTTAGATAAAGTACCAATTATTTTTGAACAACGTTTGTGACACCACTGGTTACACTGCTGACATGAGATTGAATTGTTACCTACACCAGCTTTACAAACTGAACAGGGCCATCGTCCAGTAGCTGTAGATTGGCTGGGTTCACCAGTGTTCATTGCTTTGGATTTGCTGATGTTGACTTTGAATCCATGATCGGTGAGTATAGTGTTCCAATCTTCAAACATCTGTGCTGCATTCTGCTCAGACGTGGCTGTTAAAATGATATCATCAGCATAAACTAGATTCCAAATGTCACCAGTGCGTATCGGTTTTGTGATTTCTTCCATCACAGTTTAAATAACAGTGGACTGAGAATCGAGCCTTGGTGAACTCCAACGCCGATGGCAAATGCATCTGTGTTTCCAACCGTTGTGCTGAGAAGAGTCTTAGTATTCGTATACATTTCCATCACAAGTCGAACAAGATATTCTGGAATGAGTTGTCGACGTAGACTCCACCTGACTGCTTCACGGGGAACTCGATCAAATGCTTTTTCAAGGTCTACAAAAATGTGTGATAGTTGTTGATGCTTTCCGAGGAACTTCTCTTGCAGTTGCCAAAGGACGTGAATTGTATCAATTGTAGATTTCCCCGCTAGAAAACCAAATTGATAATTTCCGATTGTGATGCACGACGTTAATCTTCTCTCAATGAATTTTTCGACAATTTTCAGGGAGTGTTCTAACAGACGTATACCCCGATATGATGAACAGTTCAATGAATCACCTTTGCCTTTGTATAGCGGGACTGTCATGCTATAGTTCCATTCAGTCGGCATTGAGCAATTTCTCCAGATTTCACGGCAAAGTTGTAGTAACGTTTGGATACCTGCAGTACCAGATGCTTTGAAAATGTCATTTGTGAGTCCAGAGGGCCCTGCTGCCTTTCCATCCTTCATAGCTTTCTCTCCACTGTAGCTTGATCTCATCTTGTTCAAGAACCATCTCATTTTTTTCATTTTTAATACAGGAGGCACCAACTATGTCTTTTTTCGTACGCTTTGCTTGTTTTGCTTTACGATAAAGAGATATCATTTGTTCACCTTTGCTTTTAGTGAGCCACTCTCTGCACTGATCTGTCCGAGCCAGTGCAACTTGACGTTTTGCATAGTTGTTCTTCTCACTGAAAATTTTATGGTCATCAACAGACTTTGATTTTTGCCATTGCTTGTATGCAACTTTCTTTTCAGCTATTGCATTTTGTACAGTCATTCCACCACCAAGTGTCACGTTCATGCTGACGTTTTGTACCAGTTTTCCCACAAACTGTAGTTGCAGCGTTCATCAAAACGGTTTTGTATGTACTCCTATCTGTACTGGCTTGCGATTGGTGGTCTAACTGTGTTGAGACAATCTGTTGAAATTTTTCTCGATGAATATTGCATTTCAGCTTCCACGTTTTGATTCTCCGAGACTTATTTTGTGACAGTTCGACAACCAGGTCTGCCACAAGGAGTCTATGTTGGGCGACACATGATTCGCCAGGTATAACTTTGACGTTTTTGAATAGCCTTCGGTGTTGTTGCTTGACAGCGAAGAAATCAATTTGCGTGGCTGATGATCCACTTTTGTATGTTATGAGATGTTCCAACCTCTTTCTAAAATATGTATTTAGTAAACAAAACCCGTGACTTTCAGCAAACTCAAGGATGCGGTTGCCATCTTCATTCAGTTCTCCATAGCCAAAACCGCCATGTACGTTGTCAAAACCATCTGTTTTCTCTCCAACGCGGCCATTAAGATCGCCTGCCTCCAATCAGGATTGTTTCAGATTTTGGTATTGTTGAGATGGTGTCAGAAAATGCAGTCCAGAAGTCATTTTTCATCTCTTCTGATTCGCCTGTCTGTGGTGCGTATGCAGAAAAAATAATCATTGTTTGCTTTTCTATGCGAAGCTTGATCCACATGAGACGTGAATTAATCTTTTTAATATCCAGTACTTCTTGGGCTAGCGGTTCTTTGACAAAAATTTAAACACCATTTTTGGCCGTCTTTTGACCATTCCAGAATAGTTTATATTTTTCTTTGTCTGGGTTGACATGACAGACACCATTCGATTTCCATCGGGTTTCCTGAAAGCAGCAGATGTCAATCCTTCTACGCTCGAGAATTTCTGCGATTTCCATGCTGCGGCCAGTCAGTGATCCAACATTGAGCGTTCCAAGTATAAGTACCATAGAGGGGCCATTCTGAATTTTTCTGCAACATCCCTCCGCTATTGCATACTTCCCAGGGATTCTTGGCACCCCTTGACCACTTAAGGCCTGCTGGGGACTAGGGGCCGTTGTTTTTCTTTGTGATGGCATAAGAGTAATTTGGGGAAAAGTTTTTACATCCGGACACCCATCCTGACGACAACCACCAGTTATAAGCGGTGGGCCTAGCCTTTCGCTCAAAAGCACGCAAGGCAGCGTGGATGCAGTTTTATGTCATGCCCAGGACTTATTAAAAAAAAAATAAAATTCAAAATAAACTTATTTTCCGAATTCATGCTGCAAATAAGGCCATATTTCGGTTCCGAATGAATCATCATCAGTGCTTTTTGATGTTTATATAGGAAAATATTGACTTTGCCAAAATGAACTTAGATGGAAATTAGGTGTCAGGTTTCTTTATTGGCTGGTCATCTTCTTTGGTCTCCTTTTCTTCATCGATAGCATCATATTCTTCTTTGTCACTAGTTACAATGCTAGTTTTTATTACTTCTTTGTTTTCATTGTTGGTTAAGCGCCGGGTTGGAAGTGAGGTTGTCATTTTTTGTTGTATATTTATTTTTGGTTTATTGATGTCAATTAGGACTGCTTCTGCAATTTTAAGATGCGTGTAGTTGCTGTTCTGGTATATTACTTTGGTGTTGCTGTCGAGGATTTCACGGCTAATAGTGATTGAGTGTGTTGAGTCCAAATGAGATTTGATAGCACCACTCTGTTTATGCATCGTAAGCTTTCTAGTCAGTGAGGTAGTAGTAATCCCGATATATGAGTCATGTTGACGTGCACAGCCGTAAAAGAGGCAATTAAATTCATATATTACGTGATTACGCCTTAACACAGAGTTATCTCTAGGACTACGGTTGTTTTTCAGTATTAGGTGAGACGTCTTCTTATTGTTGTAATAAATTCGGAGTTTAACTTTACTATTTGGGTTGGTTGGTGTGACATTTTTATTGATGATATGTTTAAGAATAGCTTCATCTACTTTTTATGCAGTTAACATGTGATTTCTGTAATACAAAATGATGTCGTTATCTTGATTGTTGGTACTAGGAAGGTTATTTTTGTGTAGTAATTTGCCTTTAACAATCTTTTCAAGAGAATAAGTCTTATATCCATTGTTTACAAGCAGGTTAGTGACTCTTTTTAATTCATATATATATATATATATATATATATATATATATATATTCATATATATATTCATATATACATATAGCTAATTTACAATTGAAATTATTATTCACTAACCAGGGTGAAGATAAAAACCTTTTGTTTCATCCCATATTTTTAACTGATTTACGTTTATAATTAAAGAAAGTTTGAAAGGCTGATTATCAAATATTATAGAGTTTCGTTGAACAGCGACAAGTTGTAACTTCGGCATCGACACTGGGATGTCATTCCATGCTATGTAAATTTGTGTGACCTTACAGTTTAAAACACTAAATTAACTTTGTTTAAACTAACGTTTTTAAAATTATTAAAAAATATACTTCATCTGAATCATAAGGTCCGAGATTATAAACATCAGCTTCAACGGTAATATTGCTTTTGTAAACTTGGTTTATTACAAACAAGTTAGTCGATAAATTTTTATAAATAAACTTGCTGTATGATAACCCATAACCAAATGGATACAAAGGGTTGCCAGGCCCCTTAAAGTATCTGTATGTTCTCCCATCCATCGAATAATTATCCATTGGAGGAACCTAGAATGTGTATCAAGAAAGATTATTTACAATGATAACATTAAAAATAATTTGTCAATATTTCATCCAGAACTTGATCCATGGAAAAAGGCCAAGTGTAAGGCAATCTACCAGCAGGACTAAGAGTAACACCACCGTTTTTTTCACTATAATTATTGTGGGAAATATTCAAGAACAACACCCTTTTCAGAGCTTCACCCGCACCCTGAGCTGGAAGAAAACATTGCATGATGGCACCAACGTCATCGGAGGTCTCAGCTAATCTTATATCAACTGGTCCGGCAGAAAATATTAGCAATAAGACAGGCCTTTTACCTGTTTATATACCAAATAATCGTATCAGCATAAATAACAATCAAATTGAAAAGTTTAAAATTATACTCAATGAGAGAACATCTTTTAGCAAAGTTTCTTGATAGCCAGGTAGAGCCATAGAACTTCGATCATTGCCTTCACCTTCTATTTGTTGCCCTATGAGTAAATAATTAACAATTAACATTTTAAATAAAAGCTAAAAATTTATGAAATTTTGCGTTTTTATATAAAGTTTAATAATATAACTATTCGAAGGCATCACACATTAAAAGCTCCAAAAAATTTGATTTGTGGGCGTTGAGTCCAGTACTTACTTTCGTGAGGATGGTTTATTAGATATGGAATTTGTCTTGAAGATGATTTTTGTTTGTGCATCAGTTTGCTTGTGCATCGTCAAACGGCGTGAAAGAGCGGTTGTAATTCTGCCAATATGCACGCAATCACCATAAGAGCAAATAAAAGATTATATCACGTGATATACATTCATCTGACTCATGGGTTTGGGGTTGCACCTAATTTTAAATAAGAGGTTTGCAGTTTTTGCATTGGTGTAGTTCAAGAGGAATGTGTGAGGCCCTATTGATAAAGGTGTGTTATGGTGCTGTTTTTATATGCAGAGCTGTATTCACTAATGCCGTTAAGACATGTTCCTTCATTGGTTGGCTCGATATATGCTGACGTGTGATAGATGTCATTGTTTGTATTGGCTTATATTAACACATCGAAGAATGAGAGAGCAATTCCTGAATTTCGCAAAATACTGAAATCTCACTTGTTTGAACATTGATTAACATTTATTTACTTTTGTTGCATATAAGGTTATATTTATATTGTAAAATATATTTAATTACATCTGTAGCACGTATACATTTACTCTAAATATCGATTGTCATTTTAAACATTTGTGCAATGCCGTCCGTGCCTTTAAAAAACTTTTAAAACGCGTTTACAAATACTAAACAATAATATTGTTACTACTATTAATAATAATAATAATATTATTATTATTATTGTTGTTGTTGTTGTTGTAACTTTTGCTGTTATTGATGTTGTTATTGTACTAAATTTAATTTCAAACAACTAATTATTATCTTTTTTGCTTAAATTTCTACATAAGTCTAATCCAGATGCGAAATAAATACGCCGATACGTGGTACGCAAGCGTTGAGCGTGATTTCGATTTAGCCCAATCAAAATCATTTTAAATTTAAGCGTTAAATTGAAAATTATGATTTAAAAAAATATGCGCAAACGGCATCAAATGGCAGCAAACCTTCGAGCAATATATAATAGTACAATTTTATACTATTTTTTTGTCTATACCCTTTTGAAAAGTATTATGCAGCACTTTATAGTCAACATTTTGTTATAAGTCTGAAAATAGGACGAACATCTGGTTCCACACTTTAAGAACATCACTGAAAATTGTTTGCAAAATATCGACAAAAAAAAATAGTATATAATTTTAATCTCGACTTCCTGTAAAAAATGAAATTAAAAGTTTCTATCTGGTGTATAAATAATATACAATCAAACCAGTCAATTGCGAAAAGCATTTTCATATTTGAATAAAACTGACCAAAAATATCATATTCATTTGCCTACAAAAAATTATTTAGAGATTGATGATTTTTGGTGTCGCGATTGGAAAACTGTGAATTAGTAACTCAATTATTTCAAGTATTTGTTTTTTGCATAGGAAATAATTATGATTTTTTGAAAAACAAGCTAAACATTTTTACTAGCACGATAAATTTTTATGTGATTATTAGAATTAAAAAAATTCTATTAAAGTTAAATAAAAAATACAAACACCTGTTCCAAGACAAACTATCAGCAAGTCAGCATCAACTGTGGCATTCTTAACCTTTAATCATAAAAATGTAAATGATCAAGCACCAAAATATCAAATCTTCGAGCAACATATATTTTTACGATTAAAGTTTCAGCAAAGTCAAGTAAAATAAAAGTAATTACTAAAAATTTCTAGACATCCAAAATATGTTAGCTTTTAAATTCACTAATAATATATGCCATGACTTTCTCCAATCAATAACTTAGTAAGTCATTTTAATATCCTTTGTAAATGGTTTTTTCTGATTGTTTTTATCTAGATTGTTGTCTAGGCTTCTAGTTATCTTTACAATTCACCAATATTTTGATTATATGTATATATTATTTATATTCTGTTTTCTTATCCTTTTTATTTTGGACTACATAATTATTTACTTAATCTGTTTTTCTTCAAGCACTCAAAAAACTATTTTTTCTAGTGTAATAACTTTACACTTATTCAGATTTCTACATTACTAAATGATTGCCTTTATACACATCCAACATCCTTTTGTCATCTCCGTTTATCCCGCCAAAGCTTAGTTTCTCAAGCTTCTATTCATACATACACCACTCTAATTTTTTCTTAATTACATATTCAATTCTCCTGCTCAAACTTTTTTTTGCATCTTTACGATTCTGTCATCATGTCAATAATTTCTTCCTAGAATTTCTATTCCAATTTTTTGTAACAACATTTTAAAAAGTTGCGTGAAACTTTTCTTTCCAGTATAATACACATCCAAAAAAGGCACACAAAAAGTTTACTGGTACAAACTTCGAATGCATTATAAATTTTACAGGCATTGTCATTACAACCTGAGGCCAAAATCGTCTTTTCTACTGTTCCATTTAATCCTTCAAAAGGAGTTTTGCCATATCTGGTAAGCAAAATATCATATTTAAAAATGAAAATCTGAGATGAAACTTTTAATTTAAAACCTTGCATCTATTGCTGGTGAATATAAGCCATAAAGTTGTTCCAAATTATTTGCCATTGGGCCGACTAACTGTAAACAAACATTAAACTGTGTCATATGGTAAATCGTAAATAAAAACGATTATTAAAGTTCAAATAATTAAATAATTAAAAAGTTCCTTACAGCAACCGTTTTGAAATCCAATATTTTCAACGGTAACAAATTATTTAAATTCTTCAATAGAACAAAACTTTTGGCAGCAGCGGTAATAGCCGCTTCTCTGTGTGGCAAACTTTGAACTACCGATGAATTAATATAAGAATAAGGATTCATTTCTTCAGGATCAAAATGACCAAGACGCATGCGCGCGTAAAATAAACGACGATTGCTTTCTAAAACTGTTTTGTAGCTTGAAAAAAAAAATTTTAATATAACTTATTAATTATTTGATTAGTTTTTAAACGATGTTCCAAAATTTTAATATATTAATTTATACTTTAGGTTCTATGTTGGACCACAAAAATCAATCAATCAATCAATCCTCGCTTATAGTCTCCATCCTTTATGGGTCGGACTTTTTTTATTCCATTCATCAGTTTCTGTTTCAAAGCTGATCTATCCATTGCGTCTGTCTCCTTGAGACCAAGTGCCTTCAAGTCCTCCAGTATGGTCTGCGTCCAGGACTTTTTTGAACGACCTCTTTGGCGGGTGCCAGGCACCTGGTGCTCAGTAACGGAAATTATTGTAACGTTGTCGCTTCGCTTCACATGGCCAAACCATCGTAGGCGATGACGACGACATGCATCCTTCAAAGTGCACAGTCCCGATCGGTTCAGGATCTCGGTTGTATGTATATGGTCCCTTAGGTCAACATGCTGAATTCAACGAATCATCTTCATGTCAGTTCAGTGAAGCTGCTTTTAGTGTTTTATTTTCATCTGCTACGTCCCTGCACCATACATCAGAACAGAACGTATAGCTGTGTTGTATAGCTCTGAGTGCAGCGGTAGAGGAACGCTTCAGTAACGAGGCAAGGAGGTGCCATCTGTCCAACGCTGCACGTATGCGTCTACGAACGGCGGCGTCAGCTGTTCCAGTACAATCCAGCACATCTTCCAGAGAACAGATGTCAACTCTTCGCCTTTCCAGCATGTCGCGTCCAGTAAGCGATCCAGTATTTAGAGTGCCAAGTCTGCTTTTTAAGGAGAGGACGCCCGATTTTCCGCAACATCCCTCCACTGTTGCGTACTTCCTGGATATTGTCATCCTTTGACATTTTAAGGTTTCCCAGGGGATAGGGGATTTTTTCTTTTTTTGTGATGACATAGAAAATGTTTGGGTCAAAAAATTTTTATGTCTGAAATTGCCCAATTCTAACAACCACCAGTATAAACAGTGGGCCTAGCCTTTTTGCTGGAAGCACAAAGGCTGCGTCGTTGCAGGCACCTAGCCTTAGGGTCAAAGGTCCCGGTTCAACAAGGCTGTGGATCTAGAATAAAAGATCGTCCGCTGTTGGAGCCGTTGTCCTAGGATCATCCGCCTCATTCACCGTTGTCTTCTTTCTTCTGGTACAGTTGGTCCCTGTCTAGGACTTTCCCTTATCCACCACCTGGGAACGCGCCTCATAACTAGTGCACCCCAAAATGAAGTTGGACTACATGGACTACTTTTTTTGACTACAAAAATGACAATAAGAAATTCAAACAGTAACGTAGACTGACGGACTGTAGGTCAGCGCCGTTAAATGGCTCATGAACGAATTCTCTTACATGTCTAATAGTGTGTACTAGACTTCACAACTGAAGTGGTGCAAATGAGCAACTGGCGCTGTAACTGATCGATCCGGGTAAATAGACAGAACTCGTTGTCAAAAATGACAATATGTCTAAGAGAAGAAAAACTCTAAATCCTAATCACGAGAAAGTGAATTCCTTTACTAAGTCCGGCGGAGAGTTCATTGCTAAAAACAGCAGTCCGTCTAGGAAGAAGGAAAACCACAATCTCAAGCCTGTGTTGATGCCATGCGTAGGCGGTTTTATATTTGTCTAGGTTTCGGCAGGATTCTGCAGCAGCTACCGATTTGCTTGTAGATGTGTCACATGTCGTGTCACATGAATTTACAACCACTCTTATTACGCCTTCTAATTAATTTACAATTTCTAACTATTAGTTCTTATCCCGATTTCCCGTCTATAACAATATGTTTTGTCGATTACTCTGAAGCATTTGATAGCGTGAAACACGTGGAGCTTATGGAAATATTGAAAAATTTGGATATTGACGTTGATGGATAATACACGAGTTATCAAAAACCTTTATTGCGAACAAAGAGCAGCGATGAAAGTTGGTAACAAGATGACTAGTTTTGTTGAAATAAAAAAAAGTGTTAGACAAGGTTCTCTTCAAACTTGTACACTCTATTGTGAGATCATCATGAAAAGGATAGATCTACCTGGAATATCCATTGGAGGCGTGAATATTAACACTGTAAGATATGCTGATGATACAGCTCTTATAGCAGATTCGCATGGTGATTTTGCCAGTGAAACTGCTCTTATGCAAGGAATCTCAAACAACAAGTGATGTTATTTGAATAATGTATCTGAGACTTTCGCTGGTAAAAGGGCGCTATATGACTGGACAAGCGTGAAAGGCAGGCATGGAATTGGCAGTGTCGTTACCAGCGGTATCAGTTTCGCTTTGTGACCACGAATACTTAATTTTAACAACAAAGTCATTCGCGCCCTAAACACAGGCATCTTCTAAATTACATTGCCACTGGATTGCATGACGCCGCAGATGTTTTTAAAACAAGAGTGATGCGAGGTGCTAAATGCCTGACATATCCGACTTTTTATATCAAATTTTCAATTAGGTTGCGCCCTCTTTCCGACTGCAGAAACCCATATGACATTCGCTTTATTTAATCTTTTCTATTTTATTACATTGTTTTATACACCACAAATTCAAATTTATAATTTTGATTTATTTACCAAATCATAAAAAATACAGAATTAAGGCTAGAATCAAAACCAGGGCTTCAGAGAATAATTTTTATCCGACTCCAGTCGACTATTTGATAGAAAATTTTCGTTGCTGTACACAAATTGCTGAAGCAGATTTCATAGTTGGCAAATTTTATAACAGAATGAATAAAATAAAATAAATAAAAAAGTTCAAAAGTTTATTATATTGACCTTGAAAATATAAAGCAATAATTTATTTTAACCGATCAAATAACACTAACTTTGTAAAAAAAATATTATGAAACACAGAGTAGTTAATTATTTTGGAATTTAAAAAAAAACGTGAACGCAGTGCCATTGTATGGTTACTCTTCGTTTTATAAAAGCATTCAACGTTTTTTAATTCCATATTATTTTATTAATTCTACTCTTGATTATCTGATATTTTTCACACAGTAAATGTTATTTGATCAATAAAATTTTTAAATTATTTCATTTTTATAAGTCTAATAAAAAACTTTAAAATTTTTAAAATTAGTTTTATTTCATTCTTTCTTGTCTAGTGTTTCGTTTTAAACATAGGACTGATAAGATTAAATATTCTTAATCATTTTTTTAGAAAAAAATGAAATGCCATTTAAAAATCAATCAATAAATTATCATTAAGTCATTTAGTCAAATAAAAAAATTTTTGTCAAAAATGATTATATAAGAGACAAAAAAATTAAAACAATATAATGATATTAACATGAAATTTGTTAGATTTGCAAGACAGGCCATTCTACAACCTGCAAAATATGCATTCAAGAACCTAAATGTTTAAATGCCTGCCAACGCTCGCTAGGATAAAACTCTCCTCAAAAATTACTTTTTAAATACTTTCTAATCAAAAATGATTTTTTTTTGTCCGAAAAAAATACATACAAAATTCTCATCCACAGTCAACTTATTAGTTAAACAAGTTTTCTTTCTACATTGCACTTTAATTTGTATAAAAAATTTTATGAAAGGCCAACTTTTGAATTTATATATTCACAGATTTATCCATTTAATCTAAGTATTTGATTTTTATAATTAAAAATTTGCAAATTGAACCTCATTTGATTTTTAAAGACTTTAAAATTTGTATCTTGCACATTTAAAAAACTAAAATTAAGGCTTTCCATCAAGGTGATGGAAGAAATAAACAAACTGATAGGCTCACATGACATATGGAATGTGATATATGCAGATGATATCGTCCTGACGGCGGCCTCGGAACAAGACGCAGCCAGAAAGTTTGAGGTCTGGAATACTCAGCTCGCCGAACACGGGCTAAAGGTAAACCTAGACAAAACAAAAACTATGATCACCGGTGGTACCGCTGAGCCTGTTGTCTCTAGTCATTGGCCATGTTCGGTGTGTAGGGCTGGAGTTGGAAGCAACTCGATCAAATGCCTACAATGTCAGCAGTGGTGTCACAGATGATGCTCGAGAATTACCGAGAAGTCCTGGATGCCGACCATACAGGAGGACTTGAAGGCACTTGGTCTCAAGGAGACAGACGCAATGGATAGATCAGCTTGGAGACAGAAGCTGATGAATGAAATAAAAAAGTTCGACCCATAACGGATGGAGACTATAAGCGAGGATTGATTGATTGAAAAATTAAGGTTTTTGTTTAAAAACAATAAAAAATTAATTTATTACAAACGGAAAACTAATAAAAAATGACCTGACTAATCCGTTTACAACAGCATCGTACAACAATTTGTAAGCAGGATCCTTACCAGGAAGTTCTAAATCAACACCAGAATTAGCGGCTAACACAACAGCTTCCATTAAAGATTTTGTATATTTGTGGCCAGTGTAGATAAATCTTATTGCTTCCCAATCACTAATAAAGTACCCTTAAAATAGTAGAAATTATTAGTAATCATGTATATCTTGTTGAACTAAATTTAATAGAAACCTTTGAAACCTAATTCCCCTCTAGCAATTTCTTGCATCAACCTTTTATTACCACAAGCTGGGATTCCATTGAAACTTTAGAAAATTTCCAGAATATAAAAAATGCATGAATTAGAATCAATAAATATTTAAATAAAAGTAATAAGTGAAATTATTTAGAAAAATATTTTCTAGCAAATATAAGTGAAACAAATTAAATTTATTTTCATTCAAAGCAATCAATGCATTTGTTTTTATTGTTCATTTTTTTAAATTTTTTTAAATTTTGTAAAAGGAAAGCTGATAAAAAACAGAAAAGGTCAACCTATTATAGCTGCACATAATATTCATTGATCCAGCATTTATGCAAGCAGCCCAGTGAGGTAAATATGTTAAGCGCATATCTCTTTCACTAACCTTATGTTTATTTAAAAACAATCTTTAAATATGTTCATAATTTAACTTTCTCAACAAATTTTTTAAAGCCTTATTTAAATTTTACACATGGCATGATTTTTTATCAATGTTTTAGTATGAAGCTATTTAACAAAACATTACAAAATTTGCTTTTCTTCAAAAATTATTCAAAACTATTCAATAATTTGTTTTTCCTAAAAATTTGTTTTATAACTGATAGAGATTTATGTAATAAACACTACTGAGAGAGGAGGGGATTTATAAGTCTGTGAGAGAATGCTGCATGGGGCAATGGAGAGTTTGAGATTTTTTATGTAGCAAGCTTCTACTTTAAACAAAACATTTTTAAAGAAAAAAAACTATTAAGAGAAACTGAAAAGAAACAAAAAATATATTAAACAATAAATAATGTGCAAAAAAACTTTTTTAAAAATGTATTTTTATTTGGAAAAGTTTTTTGTTACATAACAAACAAGTAGCAATTCATAAATGCTGTTATTTGTGTTATATTTATAAAATCAAATCTGAATGATCATATCTGATGTCTATAAAGACATTTTAACTGACACTTTAATATATGTAAAAATTAAACTCTAAAATACAGGTAAAAACAGAGTACTTAATTTACTGACTTTAGCATCAAAAGAAAATCTAGATGATGGGATGTTTTCTGGTCCTGAATGTGCAGCTAGAGTTTTACATCCTGCATTGGCTTTGATGTAACGAGGGTGATCACCTTGTAACCCAGTCACATAAGCTTCAGTCAACCAACCAGACAAAAACGGATCTTCTCCATATATTTCCTTAAAAGATTTTAATTTTAATAATTACATGAGAAATAAAATAGATTAAAAAAACCTGCACTCTGCCCCAAAGTGGATGCCTCATTATGTTGATGAAAGGAGCCAGACAACTGATGCCCTTCTGATGGCCATAATCTCCTTTAGCTGAAGCATCGTGGTATATACCCCGAGCTTCAGTACCTATTATCTCTGCCATATTTCTAAGAATTTCATTACTGTAAATATTGTTAAAAAGCTGTCAACATTTATAACAAGAATGAAAAAGCATTTGTATTTAAGATCAGTCAGTCATTAACTAACATGACCATACAAACATACAAGGCCAAAAAAGTATACAACAAAATTCATGATTCTAAGAAAAAAATTTGTAATATGGAAATTTTGTTATAGAGAATTTGTTTTGAAAAAATTCTATATTGCTTAAAAAAAAGGTGTTTATACACTATATATTTATGAAGAACAACCACTTAATCATATATTTTTATAACAAAAAAATAATATATATTATAATTGCAAAAATATGAAAAATTATATAATTTTATTTTTGCATTATAATATTATATGTATAAAACGAAAAGAATAATAAGTAACACAATATATGCAAAAATGTAACTTAGAGTTTACTACATTTAACAACTTTTATTTAAATTTACTGATAATTCTTTTTATTCACTTATTTAAGACATAAAAAAAACAGTAAAATACTCCATCAGGTACATTTTCTGGTCGAATATTTTTTTTTAACTTTTATTGATTTTTTCCTAATAGAAAAATTATTTTCAAACAACAGAATCAGTTTTATATGTAAATTTCCAAGGGACACAAAAAAAAACATTGTTATATAACGAGGTCCAACTGTATATTGGAGTATTTATTTATTTTTAGTATAAAAGTATAAATATAAATAAAATAAATTTTCATAATATATGCATTGTTTTTACTGCCAATGATGCAATAAAGATAGTAATAAAACGGCTAAATAAAAATAACTAACAAGTAAAGTAAAACATAACAAACAGCACCTAAAAGTCGCAGCCATTCCAATTGACACAGGAAAAGCAGTTGCCTTATTAGGAGCCACAACACCCCTCAAACACTCAGTATTGAAATTGTAAGGTTTAATTCCTAATCGTTCAATGGCGGGACAGGGACCAGCGTCACCACCACCAAAGGCCATTTGCAAAACCATTTCCTGGAGAGTCAACCTTTTGATCAAGTCATTCACTCTCTCATCCCAAGGAAGTGAAACGTTTAGAAAAGGATAATCATAATTCTTATTATCAGAAAGTGCAACTGTGCGGCAAAAGATAAACAAAACGCAAACGCTGTAGACAAATTTAAAGTTCATTTTGTTTGAAATAAAACTACGGAAGAAAAGAATTTTCGGCAAAATATTTTTTCTACCTGCTAAGCACAAATTTTTGTGAGAGCATAATTATACTTAAAAGTGAATTCAAATAAATAATAATAAATATTAGACATTTAGACCAAGGGGAGGCCTATTTACCAGCAAAGAACACTTTCTTATGGGTTAAAGCAGGGATATGCAAAGAACCTCAAATTTTTTTCAACTTTCAATTATTTTCGGTAATGTCAATTTTATTTTTTTTTTGAATTTATACAAAATGAATCACATTGAATAACAATTAAAAATAATTAAAATTTTGTTACAAATTGTAATGACTAAAAAATTGTTGTTAATGGTGTTAATCGAAGCTTTTTTACTTTTCGTTAGTGTTCTGTTAATTTTTCTGACAATAAACTTTTTCAATCAATGTTTAAATTTTTATATTGTCATTTATTTTTCCGTTTTTATATCCTATTAGTTTAAGCTGCTAATTAATAACACATAAATGAACTATATATAACATAAGATTGAAAAATTGAAAATGAACAAGAAAAGACCATTGGGTTCCTCGTCCTGGCTCCAAGGACCAAGATTCAGGATTCTACTATTCTTTACCTTCTAATCTAAATGTAACTAAACTCTAAATCTAATCTAAGTTCTAAGAAACAGAAACTTAGATCATCATGAACTATCTATCTTTGATTACAACATCAGAATACTCTGTAATGTATTGATGACACAGTCTAAAATCTAAATAATGTAGATTTTAGATGGCTGGGACTCTTCAGGTCTCCCTACCTTGAAAGCACGGTAACAGGACATATTAAATGACATATGACATATACAAAAATGAGCGAAGGCCGTTATATTTATTCTAATTATATGATTTAGACCAAGGGAAGACTTATTTACTAATATACAACACTTTCTTATGGGTTGAACCAGGGATATGCAAAGAACCTCAGTTTTTTCATCTTTGAATGATTTTCGGTAATGTCGATTTTATTTTTTTAAATCTGTACCAAATAAAACTAATTAATTACCACATTGAATAACAATTTTAAAAAAAATAAAGTTTTAACATTTTAAATGAAGGCAATATTCCGAAATTTGTAAATGTACCATCGTAACTTTTAACTCGAACGATAAAAAAATCATCCAAATCCCATCCAGAAGAAAGCTTGTAGGGATCAAACATTCATTTATTAACTATCTTATGTATTAATTATTATTAAAGATTATTGCAATTTTCAATGTTACCTAATCTATGTTAATTTTTATGTCTTTGCTTCTCTCTCGATTTCTTCCCTTTTTTCCTGATAACTTGTAAACGAAACGGTTCGAGATTCACGTGGGAATAAAGATAATATTTTATTACGCCTGAATTGTGTTTGTTTTATTTATTTTAACTCACAACAAAGTGTCTTGTTAGTAGCAGAAGTTCGTACTAACAAATTGGTGACCATGACGTGATCTGAACGAAAATCCGACGTGATTTGAACGAAAATCTCACGTGATTTTGAACTAAAATCCGACGTGAAAAGAAATACGAAGATCCACGTGTTAAGATCAAAACGAAAACAATGTTCCAACCAAATGATGACCCGATCGCCATATTACTTCTTCAAGAAAACAGCGTCAACAGATTGGTTCGAGAATTCCGAAATGCAATTTCAATTGCGAAACGTGATGTGTAAAACAACAAGGTTCTATCACGTAATAATTTCCCTGCCGTTGGATATAGTCTCAAATTTGTCATTAAAAGTGCAAAGAGGAACAGATTACGACGCTCTAAAAGCAGTTATTATCAACGTTCAAACAAACCAAACCAGAGCAATTCCAAGAAAAAGAATCTTTTAAAATAAACTTGAATCTGATGAAAAACAAAATTGAAGAGGCAGCCAATAGAAGAGTCCAATAAAATAAAAGTTGTCCTGAGCAAGAACAAAGATGAAAATGACATCCAACAATCACAACAGCAAAATGCTGAGCAGAATGTTACCATCCCATCAGCAAATTCACACATGAACGATTCTCTCCTTGGTTATAAGAAACCAGAAAAAAGATACTATATGCAAATTGTTATAAAAAAAAGGTCTGTTACACTTTTCCTAGGTTTAGAAAAATAAACACACAAACGACGTATATGAATACGTGCTAAACGAAGCACGTGATAGGCGGGAATTGAAATTTATCACTTATTACTTTGATCACGATTACGATAAGATCAATAACATTACAAATCGAATCCGGTCACTGCACGCAATACAAAACAGCACAAGGCAACCTTAACCACTAAACCATCCCGCTGCCTACTATGTCATCACGCCACCCAGTGGGACATCACGTTTCCCAAATGCATGAAACAAATCAATTGAAAAATAATTAAATTGAATAAAATTAAAATAAGAAATAAATATTTATTAATAAACTAAAAAACGTAAAAATTGTAAAATTTGTAAGAATAAATTGTTTCTAGAAAAAAAGAATGATACAAAACTCTAAAGCGCATTAAAAACACGCGCGGGTGCGTTCGAGGGCTTGTACAAATTTTCTAAGTATACGATACGAGCATTGTAGTTTAATTTTTTAGTTTGTGACTGACTTCATGTACGATCGTTTGTAAAAAATTGTAAATGATCTTTGTTTTGGTGTTGGAGTTCTAGTTTTCAAAACTCTCTGGTTCACGTAGGAGTTTATTAATTTAAATTAAAGGAATTAGTTTACCAAATTTCGGTATTTTTCAAAAATGGATGACAGATTTATTATATCCAATAATAACAGCAGCGTTTCCGATCACAGTGAAAACAGCAGCGACGGACTTCCGAGTCACAGCCATGGATGTTTTTTACCTGAAAACAAAATTTGCAGAGATTTTATGAGAAATGCTTGCAACAGAGGTAACGCTTGCCGTTTTCGTCATCCTGATAACGAAGAAACGAGACTGATTTCAGATGACAGTAATCCAAAAGAAATAATATTTTGTCATGATTTTCAAAATAATATTTGCAAAAGAAATGATTGCAGATTCATACATTGCACTAGAGAAGATGAAAACACATACAAAATAACAGGTTTATTGCCAAAATCTTTAACGAGCTCATTAGCATCTGAAAAGAAGCCTCCTATATGTTTAGATTTCAACAAAGGATTTTGCAAAAGGGGAGATAGATGCAAATATAGACACATATGTAATTATTTGTTACATGGAAAAGATGTTTGCGATATCAGAAAAAAAAGAAAATGTGTTGACGATTACCAAGAAAAAAATTTAACAAAAAAATTTTTGTCAGAATATCAGCTTGCTGAAGATAACAATTTATTAAGACGTCGTATAGATGATTTAGAGCGTCAACTCTCTGTTTTAGTTGCATCAAATGAATTGCTACTAGAACAAAATGCTAGATATCGCTCTTGCAAACTGATCACAGTACCACCGATTGTAGCTGTCAGCCAGATGTTAACGCCAACAATAACTCCTGCTCCCATAAGTATTGGATCAAGACCAGTTACAGCCCTTCATCATCAAACTCCTCATGGAATTACTACAATGGCTACTTTGTCTATAGGAAATCAGCGAGAATTTGTTTTGCCACAATCTCTATCTCAACCACCTCCACTGGCTCCCCAACAATCTCTTCCCTCACAAGCGCCAACTGTTGATCAACCAATCTCAATGACAATTGCGCCACTAACAATTGAGACATTACCAATGCCCCCTTGCAGTAATCTTTCTAATTCGACTCTTTCTCAACAGCAGCAGCAGCAAACAATAGCCGCTGCACTTAGTTTATCAATGCCTCATTTATCTCATGCATCACTTGGTAGTCTTATTGGTAATTCTAATTTAGTTTCTTATCCATTGATATCTCATGCTAGATTGCCGACAAGTAGTTTGGGATGAACTGTTGATTTTTAATTTATTATTCGTTTGTTTACATAATTTTTATCAGTAATGTTAGACAATTGAATTTATCAATGTCTAATGTGTTTTTTGTGATTTTTATAATTTTTTTAATCAATGAATTTGTTATTAAAATTATGCTTAAATAATAATGTGTATTCACATTAAAATTAAAGTGTAGTCGCAACGCGTGTAAAACAATAAAGCGCGTTTTGTTTTCATAAATTTCTACCCAAAAATACATTCTGGTGTGAGGCAGGATATCCTTGCCAGTGTAAGTTTAAAACAGAAGATGAGGCATCGAGAACGAGATACCAGTTATTTTTTGATGTTTGAGACTAACAAAATAAGTCCAAGGAAAAATGTTAAAATTGGAATTTTCTGATTGCACAAAGAAGCAGGCCTATAATTTTCCTAGCAGCATACATTCTTTTTTATTAATAGGCGAAGTTATGTCCAACAGCGCTCCTCAATGAATTTTGCAAACTGATGGGCCTTGAGATCAGCTCTGATTTTTGTAAGCGATGAAGAAGTAGAGAAAGAAGTAAAGAGTTCCAGAGAAAAGAAACAGGAAAAGCGAATGCAGATTTAGCAAAAGAGTATTTAACACGGATGTCTGTTTCATGTTTTGTCTGAGCGATCTGAATAGCTCTGATGGTGGACGTATCGCATCATTCTCTACCTCCGCGAAGATGGCGATATTCGGACTAGCACATGCCTTTATATTGTTGATGATTATTGAGAGCGCTTTGTGGCGATTTAAGTATCGTTTGAGTCAACTTTTCTGTATGTGTTACATGTTTTGTTCCAACCACGTTTCATCGCTTGCGTTTCGTTCAAAGTAACCACGGAGTTTTAGCCTCGCCATTTCAGCGTAGCACTTTATCGATTTTATGTTGAAGCCTCCGGATTTCTAGGGCAGAGATAATATCTCTGCGACGCAGCTGCTTACAGGCATGGTCAGCCAATCTCTCATGGTCTCTGTTATCAGACGGTCTAATGTATTTTCTATCCATGTCAATGAAATGTCGTACATACGAAGTTTAAATATTAATTGGGATGAAACAAAGCGTCTTAGAATTTCAAGTTTCCACTGGACGGATATGTCCAATTCATCAATCGTATGTTAAATTCGTTTGAGTTTACTATGTAGTAACTCCATTTCTTTTGCGTTATTGTTAATTTTGGTAACAATTGTTCATATCTTCCGTCGATTTTTCGCATCTCAAATGTACAACATTTATTTATTTTCATCCTCATACTCGTCGATAGGCAACAAGCTAGATTGAGATCAATCAGGTTTTGGGCTCCCTCTGTGCAGTTTGCAATGATTGCTGAATCGTCAGCAAATCGGAGCCAAGTTCATGACTTTAGGCTAGCAGTTGGTCCCCAAATGTATCCGCATTGTTGGTAATATTTTTGCTGTAATACTTCCATTAGAGGATTGAAGCATAAGTCGAAAAGTAAGGGGGAGCTAGGATGGCCTTGCAGTACTCCACGTTTCACCGGAATGGGTGGAGTTAAATTATTACACACAGATACAGTAATGGAGTAATTAGCATATATTGAGCTAATCAAATTGCTCGCTTGGTCCGGGATATGGTGGTTTTGAAGGACTGATGAAATGAGATCATGACTAACTTCACCAAACGCATTCCGTAAGTCCAGAAGAGTAACAATGGTAGTTTTCTGGTGAATCTTTGCGTTTCTCAGTAGATGTGACAATAAATGGGTGTGTACAGCTACACCGTCTACTTTTGGGTAGAAACCTTTCTGTGTTGTTTTATTGATGATGTTATTCATTTTGAGATAAAAAAAATAACAGTAGTAGTAATAATAATAATGTCACTTGTGTATAGCCAATGGAAGCGACTAAGGTATCCTCGATATATGCCATCGAAGCGAGCAAAAACTAGAAGTTGTGATGGTTAAATGCTTCGAAAAATAAAATACAAATAAAAAGATGAAGTTGAAAGGAAAAAGATAAAAATTTTAATGATGATTTGAATTTAAGAAGAGAGCAGGAATTCATGACATCGTGAGGCAGGGAGATCCAGTTGATTGGATCAACGTGACAAAATGCTCGCTTGCCAATGCCAGTTGTTGACCTATGTTGAAGAAACAATAGGTTTTTGGCAAAGCGAAGATGTTGATTAATTAAATTAAGAAGTAGTAAGTAGATTATCGAGATATGCTGGCAAATCGGATGACAACTTTAAAACAAAGACCACAATTTTGTAATGAACGCGAAAATGAAATGAAGCAAAGGTAGACTTTTCAAATTTGATGAAATTGATATTGTATGATGGTCAAACTCGCTCAAGTTCAACTCTAGCCACCCGATTTATTAATATTTAAAGGTAAGAGTTTCTTGTTTTAGAGACAAGCCAAACATTGTAGAATAGCAGTAATCAAGTTTGGACAGTAAAAAACATAATATTGTGCTAAATTACTGGCCTGTCAATCAATCAATCAATCTTCGTTTTGCGTCCAGAGACCCGGTTTCCCGAGGTAGGACGTTGTTTTCTTTGCCATCAACTTTTTGCGCCAAATTAGACTATCAGTTGTATCCATTTCATTTAAATTTAGAGCTTTCATGTCTTGCTCGATTGTTTGCGACCAGGACTTCTTTGGATGGCCTTTGGGACGTGTGCCAGGTACTTCAACATCTGCAAGAGAAGTTATGGCACTGTTTCCACTTCGTTTGACATGACCAAACCACCGCAGACGGTGTTGCCGGCATTCGTCCTTTATATCATCTAAACCAGCACGACGCAGGATTTCGGTAGATTTTATGTGGTCCTTCAGACTAATTCGTTGCATCCATCGGAGCATTTTCATGTCGGTTCGTTGAAGTTGTTGTTCCAGTTTGGTTGTCATTGGCCATGTTTCTGCACCATATAACAACACCGGACGTATCACAGATTTATAAAGTCTTGATCGTAGTGGTAGTGGAATGTCACGCCGCATCAATATAGAGGCAAGGAGATGCCATTTATTCCAGGCTGCACGTATGCGTGCTCGAACGGCAGCTTTAGCTGTTCCAGTACAATCCAGAACATCCCCAAGATATTGAAACGATGTGAATTTATCTATTTTAATGGCTTCAAAAACAGTGCTATGGTCTGGTCGGTAGATAAGAATTGTCTAATATAATATGTACAAACTCGATGAGTTATCTTTATTATCCAGTGAAAAAAAGAGTTGCGTATCATCAGCATACTGATGATAATTCACATTAGGACTATTGAAGGACTCATAGATTGGCGAGATCCTCATTTGAGTTATCTTCTGATTTTAACAATTGGCGACACACAAAGAAAAATTATCAAAACAGTCCAAGTCATCGATCATCTTTTACTAAATAAAAGGATATAAAACATTGAATTTCTAAAAGTAGATTTATTGATATAGAAGTTGAGAAACAAATTAAAAATGAAAAACAAAAATGGCATGAAGTTTTTAAACGAATTCTGGCCTGTATGAAGTTCCTAGCAAGCTAGGATTTAACCTTACGTGATCATTTTGAAAGTCTCACTGAACTTAACGACACTGAATGTTTTAAAAATACAGAAAATATTTTAGCCACAAAAAATTGATTGCCCAATTTGATCCTGTATTACTGATTCATCTGCAATATGCTAAGGATGTTGCTGGTTCAATTTTATATCTTCCACCAAGAATTCAAAATGAATTTATCGGTCTTCTTGCATCTACTGTTAGAAAGCAGATACTTTATGATAATCGTCGAGACAAATATTATGGACCAATATTAGATTCAACACCAGGCCTGGCACATCTGGAACAGTTATTTGAAGCCATTATATTTGTTGACATTAATTTTATAACCTAAAAAGTAACCATCAAAGGAACTTTTCTTGGTTTAATACAGCTTCATGCAAAAGATGCAGGAACATTAGAAAATGTCATTGTTAAAAAACCGTAAGCGGACAATCTTCCGATAGCTGACTGTCGATCACGGTTCTATGATAATACAACTGTAATGCCAGGAAAACTGAGAGGATTACAAACAAAGAATTTCCATTCAAAATCCTCGAGCAATGTTTGTTAGTTGTAACAACCATAGCCTAAATTTAACTGGATTACATGCTGCCAAACAGGTACTGTCAAAATGCTGTTTTTCAGTTCTTTAACTGCTTTATGGTAAAAAAATGGCAGAACGTCTTTCGATTACATTGAAAAGATGCAGTGAACGCAATCCAAGAACAGCTGTATGAAGATGGTAATGTAAGATCTGCATGAAGACGGTAGGCTACTCAAACAAGTAACATTCAAAATGATGCATGCAGCATGCTTCAAAACGTAATGAATTTTAATTTTATCACTACATCATTTCTGGCAAACAGTGGTGTCCAAAATTGACCGCATACTAAAATGGCTGCAAGATCCATCAATAAATTTTCAAGATGCATTCCTGAGATTTATGACTGCAACAGTGGCTAAGTGGCGTACAAAAAGGCGTTTGCATAACTGCAGTCAACGCAGATTGCGAACCGGACTTTACAAAGCAATACTCTGTCGCTTATATATTATACTAGCCTGTGCTAAACAAATGTAACATTTTAGTCAAAAAATTTTGTCATTACATGAACGACAATGAAGATGTCAGAGAAATTCGAGAAACATTTATAATAAATAATTTATAACATTATAATCGCCACCCAATCTACATATCAGGAAAAGAACTTCATCGCAATACACCTCAAACTTATACATACTCAATAAAACTATCATTCACGCAACTAATTTTTATTTCAGAATCACCTCACTAACTCATTAAGCCATCATTTAGTCTATTAATTTGCCTTTTATGCCATTACTTCATTTTATTGTCAATTTATTTTATTTTTTTTTGATTATTTTATTATTTTTTTTATTCTATTTTATTTTACTTTTCATATTTAAATGTTTTCTTTCTACGTTTTTTTTATTTATTTATTTACTTATTCGTTTAATTTTACACAAAACCCGAATACAACAGTATACGATCACGACTTCGGGCTCCGGAGAACAGACAGCTTTTTGCCAGTTGGTCGAACTCGCTCATTTTATTTGTAAACAGAATTCGCTCAAACTAAAAAAACGAGTGTTTTCTAAAACATAGGCTCACAACACTAAGTGATAGTGTTAATATTAATAAGTGTTATAGAAATTAGGAGAAGTTGACACCAAGATTAGCGTCAAGGCTCAACGAGTTGACTGCAGACGAATAGCAAACCAACTTGTAAAAATATTCGAAAAGTAATCTTATCGAATTGTTGACGTGTGTGTGTGCACGCATTCAAAAGCATACTGTGGTAACAAACCTAAACACGACAATGTTAAATAATTGTTGACTGCAATTTCACCGTCACGCATCAATTACGGTTGAGCTGAGCTATTCATATTCAATTTCAGGTGTTAACGGTATAATTTGAGCTTTCGAAACATGACTAATATCTGCACGCAATATTTTAAAACGTTTCAAAATCAATTTTGCAGCAATTCTAAAATTTCAACTAAATTATATAAAATTTTTAATTAAAATTAACTAAAGTTGTCACCAGGATAATTAAATTCCGAAGTAACATGGAGATAGATGCCGTTTACTCTTTTCAAGTTCAAAAATTAGGATCGGAAACAACAAAATCATCAAATTCAATTAACTCGCTGCAAAAACCTTTGAGGAAAATGTACACTTTTTACCAGAAAAATTTTTCAACAAACGCAGCACAGCACAAGATCGTCGCTGGAGTACACGGAATGACTATAATAGACACGTGTAACCAACATCAAAATGCGGAAGAAACGAACAAGGCAACGAATTTACAAATATTAAAAAACCAAATTATCTTTAAAGCCGCTTTACAATTTAAAACGATCGTTGCCGATAAAAAAGGCAAAAAGTTCAAAGCCGCATTCGTTCCATTAGACCAAGGATTACTCGCAAAAAATAAAAAAAAATATAATTCTTTATTTGTCAATTTGGATGAAAAGGAAAATTTTTTGTCAACTGTAACTGACAACCCTCCATTATTTGTTTTTATCACAAAAATAAATAAAATTTTTAATATGCATGTTTTTGTTTGTAGCAACGAAACTCAAGCATTGGATATAGTTAATGCATTTGACGGAATTGCACCAAAATTGAACGAGGTCCAGTCGCAAAATCAGGGAAACAACGTTAGTGAAAAGAAACAAGTTGGATATGACGACAATCCTGCAAACAAAGAATCAACAGTAAAATTGGGAAATCTTAACAGTCAGTTGGGAAATTTCGCTGAAAATTCACAACTAAAATCTGATCCCATGATCTTGCAATCGCCACAACCACATCAAAACCCAATACTGGCTAATAATGTTTATGATCAACTACACCCAACACAACACATACCTCCATTTAATCCCCAGATGAATGTAAATCAACCAACGACTAATTATCCCCAGGTTTATGGACAGTTAATGCCACCATATTACCAACAATATGGAAATCCTTACCAACCACAACATATGTATGGCCCTCCTTACATACCACCTAATTTCCCAGTTTCTATGCAGCAGTGCTATAACCCCTCCGAAAACATGTATCAACCATTTGCCAATGTAGGTCCTTCAGGGACTTACACAAATTTTTATCCTAATCAAGCGTACACTGCCAATGTCCCACAAGAGAAAACAGATGTCATTAACAACAATCTCCATGAGAAGATTCAACCACAACACAAAACAGCCAATCTAATACCGCGACCAGTTATCGTGAATACAAACAACGCACAATGCGAACAAATAGAAGAAAAGTTCAATGATTTAAATATCAAACCAGCAATTTCAGTAACACAGCCGACATCACATTTCTCCAAAACTGCTAAACAAGAATCTTCTCAACAAATATCACAGCTATCACCATTAACAGCCTACAATCCATTTGGAAATTTACTCCAAACGGTCCCAGAAAAACTTTCAAATCATGTGATTGTAGATGAAATACATAACCTATCCCCAAAAGATGTAAACGAAGTTCAACAAACTACTAACGCTCAAGCAGATACATTTTCATATGCCCCGGTGACGCAAAAAAGAAACGAAAAAGTTCCTCCAATCCCTCCAACAAAAAAGCCTCCGGCAAATGTCACGATATCAAACAAATCATCAACAAGTCAACCAATAGATGAATGTACCAGTCCAGTAAGCCCTGAAACCAAAGAAAAACATGCATTGAAAGTACCTAAAAAAGTCATGGGTATACAAGTTCTCCCATTTGGCTTGGACCGTCAAATACAGAAAAAAACGAGTCTGTCGCAGCCTAGTTCACCACAAGAGCTTTCATCTGATGAGAAAACGATTCCAACAGAAACAACAGAAACTCCGAACATCATTGCAGAAAAATAAATTAATAATTCACAAGACGAACCTCGTGAACATCGTCATTTGAAAAATGAAGATTAAAAATATTTTGCGAATTTATATTCATATCGAACCTAGTTTACAATAATGAAAATAAATGATAAACGTGAATGAAAACTATCTTTTAATTTTTTTCAAGTTGCTTTAATTTCGCCTCTGTAAAAAAATAAAATTGATTGAATTTATTCAAGTTATTTATAATAAAAACTGATACCCAATCGTTTAGAATATGAATCAACTTTATAAATAGCTTGTTCTAAACTGGTTACACTTTCTTCCAGCTGATCAATCATTTCGAAATATGGTTGCAAATTTGCATCTAAAATAATTAATTCATTAGGAAGTACTACATTTATAAAATAACCAATAACCAACATTTGACATTAAGGTTTTCAATAGATGAACATATTCCAACTGACACATCTTTCATTTCCAAGAACTTTTTCGTAGATTCATAATTCATCCTTTCAAGTAATTGATATTCCTCACATGTACCTTGGATCAATCAATAAATTAAAGTTGAAGATAAAAAGATTTTTCATCTTTTATAGAAATTAGCATTTGTGCAAACTTTAGGGGGTGAAGCACTTTTTGCCAATCAAAAATTTTTTTCGGGGCGACATATCATTTTGTCCCTCAATAATTTTGACACCGAAATTCAACTAGGAAAGGAATGTGTGCTTATTTCATTATAACGAAAAATTCAACTTCCAAATTTTTTGTACGCTTGGTGAATTTCATTCATTCATTTATTTTAATCAGTCTTTTAATAAGCTACTGATCGTTACAATTCATATGACACCAGGCAAAAAAAAATAAATATGCTGAAATGCTATACAAATCCATGTAATAAAAAAATGATCTAAATAAAATCTTTAAAAAATAAACCAAAATTATTAATAAATTATAAAAATACGAAAACTGTATTGGACAAATTTGAAACAGTACATTAATGACGCATTCCGATAGCTTAATGAGACATGTATAATAATATATGAAATATGCTAATTACTCTTTACAAGTTTACAATGCAAAGTCCTATATATTTAATTATATACATGTCAGGGTTCGAGGTTCCATAATTAATAGCAGGTCGAAATGCGCTTTAGAAATGCTCATGGCTATTCAAGAAGTATGTGAGTGAAAAAGGAAAGAGTTGGCCGGAGCAGTTTTGGTGAGCACGTGGACGTCGAGATAGCATTGGTTTCGTTGTTGAAGTTTAATAACAGTTGACAAACATTTGTTTAAAAATTATTTATTTTACTATGAAGAGTTATATTTTGGTTTTCGATAATAAATTTTTTTTTTGTTACTTGATAGAAAGGCGTCACTCACTGCAGCGAAACCCGCTACAGTATATACATATATATATATATATATATATATATATATATATATATATATATATATATATATATTCTTGTGAAATTAGGATTTAGACCATATTCGATACAGTTTTCAAGAAAATCAACCACGTTAATACAATTATTATGTTTATACATTAATTTTTCAAGTTATCTACTTAAAATTTTATTATAATTATTTAATTTATTAAGTAAAAAACTAAAATTATTATTGTTCATGTTTATTAATATAAATAATTGCAAAAAGCTTTTTCGATATAAAATATATCATCGTCAGTGCAAAATATTTTTAAATAATAACGAAAATTACCGTTTATAAACAAATGACGTCATACAGTATAACTTAATTTTAAGCGCGAAACATTTTTGAAAATATTATTATTAATTATTATATACTATATAATTAACATATTGATAAAATTAACTTTAAATTATTTACATAGATATATATTAGAATTAAACAAAATAAATTAAAATTTTAAAAATTGCTGAAAAAACGACCATAAAATAAATCCACAAAATAAAAAGCAAAAATCATACTACAATATTCATGTTTCCAAGTTTATATTATTATCATTGTCATTGTTATTATCATTATTATTATTACAATTGTTGTTGTTGTTGTTGCTGCTATTGTTATTGTTGCTGTTGTTATTGTTGTTGTTGTTATTGACAATGATGATGTTGTTGTTGTAAACATTAGTATTTGAGTTGTTGCTGCAATTATTAACATTATTGTTGGTGTTGTTGTCATGGTCGTTGGCATCTCTAACATGGTTAACATTGTTGTTGGTAGCAACATGGTTGTTGGTGGTGGTTGTGGTAACGTGGTTGTTATTGTTGTTATTGGTGGTGAGAGAATTATTAATTAGTTTAGATAACTGTTGATAATGCAAGTTCAAGTAATTCAGTAAAGTTGCGAAGTGAAGACTTGGAGAATCAGCAAGAATGGTTGAAATGAGAATCATGTAATTGGATTAGCCATCGCATCCAAATTGAAATTCTTGACCTTCTGGTCCATACTCTTCCTCAGAAACTATTCGCATTGGTTGATAAAGCAGGTTTCAACGCCATTATGCGTGAAGATCCAGCTGATGTACCTCAATAAGCAGTTTGCGTTTCGTATAAGATTTACAAGGAATCCGTTAAATGTTGAAGAAATTTTAGATTTTTGTCGCCTTTTAGTTGAATATTAAAAAGGACAAGGTTAAGAATAATAGAAGTTATTCAAAATTGAAAAATGATTAGAACCAAGTTTATTATTATATTTTCATTTTTTTTGTAAATTATATTTTAAATCAATCAATCTTCGTTTAGCATCCAGAAACCTAGTTCCCCCGAGGTAGAACGTGGTTTACTTTGCCATCAATTTTTTGCGCCAAATTAGGCAATCAGTTGTATCCATTTCATTTAAATTTAGAGCTTTCATGTCTTGCTCGATTGTTTGCCAGGTACTTCAACATCTGCAAGAGAAGTTATGGCACTGTTTCCACTTCGTTTGACATGACCAAACCACCGCAGACGGTGTTGCCGGCATTCGTCCTTTATATCATCTAAACCAGCACGACGCAGGATTTCGGTAGATTTTATGTGGTCCTACAGACTAATTCGTTGCATCCATCGGAGCATTTTCATATCGGTTCGGTGAAGTTGTTGTTCCAGTCTGGCTGTCATTGGCCATGTTTCTGCGCCATATAACAACACCGGACGTATCACAGATTTATAAAGTCTTGATCGTAGTGGTAGTGGAATGTCATGCCGCATCAATATAGAGGCAAGGAGATGCCATTTATTCAAGTTTCAGCAAACTCAAGGATGCGGTTGCCATCTTAATTTCGTTCCCCATAGCCAAAACCGCCATGCACGTTGTCAAAACCATCTCTTTTCCCTCCAACGTGGCCATTGAGATCGCCTCCAATCAGGATTGTTTCAGATTTTGGTATTGTTGACATGGTGTCAGAGAATGCAGCCTAGAAGTCATTTATCATCTCTTCTGATTCGACTGTCTGTGGTGCGTATGCAGAAAAAATAATCATTGTTTGCTTTTCTATGCGAAGCTTGATCCACAAGAAACGTGAATTAATCTTTTTAATATCCAGCACTTCTTGGGCTAGCGGTTCATTGACAAAAATTCCAACACCATTTTTGGCCATCTTTTGACCATTCCAGAATAGTTTATATTTTTCTTTGTCTGAGTTGACATGACAGACACCATTCGATTTCCATCGGGTTTCCTGAAGGCAGCAGATGTCAATCCTTCTACGCTCGACCATTTCTGCAATTTCCATGCTGCGGCCTGTCAGTAATCAAACATTGAGCGTTACAAGTTCAAGTACCATAGAGGGGCCATTCTGAATTTTTCTGCAACATCCTTCCGCTATTGCATACTTCTCAGGGATTCTTAGCACCCCTTGACCACTTAAGGCCTGTTGGGGACTAGGGGCCGTTGTTTTTGTTTGTGATGGCATAGAATAAATTTTGGAAAAATTTTTCACATCCGGACACCCATCCTGACGACAACCACCAGTTATAAGCGGTGGGCCTAGCCTTTTACTCAAAAGCACGCATGGCAGCGTGGATGCAGTTTTATGTCATGCCCAGGACATCGTAATGAAAAAAAATAATATATTTGATATAAAAAACTCATTACAAAATCGCATTCAAATAAAAAAAAAATATATTTTTACGTTATAAAAAATATTAAGAGTCATCAATATGCTTGTATTACATTGGTATTAATTTTTATTTCATGTTTGTTATAGTTTTGTAAAATTTGAAAATTCAGTTTTCCAAGTCATCTTGCCCCAGAAAAAATTTATAAAGTTGGTGCCTTGATACATTAAATTACATCAATCAATCATTAATCAATCAATCAATAAATAAATGAAAGTTTATAGTGAATCAAAAAGATTTATCTAATCTAAATACTTGTTAGTTCACCATTGAAATAACCAACTGATTTGTTGAGCATGTCTTGGCACAGTTCTACCAAATGTTTTTTTTCTTTTACCTCTGTTATAATTTAAATGCAAATGAAAGAAAGATCATTTCTCAATAATTACACTGTACAACAATTTTTAACTTTTGAAAAAAACAACAATCAAATAGGATTATCTTTATTAAATCAGATGTGCTGATTCTGAATCTATAATCAGGCTGTAGCACGTCAAATTTTATTAAAATAACAATTGAATGATGGAACGTGTATGAACATGTAAAGAATATTTGTTATCACTTATAACACAAATTGTTCACTTGTATTTAATTTTATATTTAGTCTGGCGTCTGTATGCTGCATCGGGTTCATCATGCTTCAAATTCCAGCAGAAATCTGCAAGCATGGCAGGACTCCACTTACCTTTGTATATGTGTTCCATTGTAGCAATAGTCTGATGAGAGCGCTTACCATATTCGTCAGATACATCTCCATTGGCAGAGAAGAAAGAATGCAGAAAGTGAAGCTTCAAAAACATATTACAACCTAATTGTTGATAGGATGCAATTAATCCGTCTACCAGATTAGCATAATTTGATGCTTTATGTTTTTCAAGAAATTCCTGGCACACCTTCTTGAATGCATCCCATGCTGCAAATTCACATTGATCCATAGTTTTAGAAAACTTTTCATCCAGCATCAATTGTCCTATTTGGAGCCTTACAAAAATATCTTTATCCATAGTTTTAGAAAACTTTTCATCCAGCATCAATTGTCCTAATTGGAGCCTTATAAAAATGCCCTCTTTAATTTTGGTATCACTGATTTTTGGCAATTTGGTCTGTAAATACTGAAATGCAGGGTTTTTAACTGCTTTATGATTCTAAACTTGAAGTGAAGATTGGGCAAGATGATCTTCTCTTTCTCCACAAAAGATTCGTGAATGACGTTGTGCTAACCAATTCGGAATGTTTCTCGTTGTGGCCAAGATTTCCTCGTATAAAGTTAGGATTTCATCCTGCAATCCCATTTGCAGAGGAAACACATAAACTTGGTAAAACCAGCCTGTAATCCATTTAGAATAGCCACAACTTTTAAATCTGCACATATTAGTGATATATTCACATATTTTTCTTTCAGGGTTACCGAATGTGCTATGGGAATGGAAGGCAGCACATTTCCGGTATAAAGTAATACTGCTTTAATGCTGTTGAGTGATGCGTCAATAAACAAATTCCACTGAGATGAATCACATTACATTCCTAGATCAACAAACAATTCACTGATGTCATTACAGAAGCATAGAAAAGTATTGCTGCAGTTCTCTGAATCGCTTTCTAAATGACGAGACTCTAACATCACCAGCCAACAGATGCCACTGCTGAAGACGGGAAACAAGCACTTCATTCTGTTGCTTTGTTAAATACAAATATTGAACAAGATCATTCAGGTCAGATCCTGTTATGAAGTGGGGTTCACGGTTTGCATCTTCTGACAACTCGTAACTTTTATCATCAGTATCCTCATCTAAATCAGAACTGTATGTGTTTGGGATTTCTGATAGAGGAACAGGAAGTTTGGCCAAATGAGGAACAGGACAAATAGCTGAAGATAGATTTGGGTAGACTATAGCTCTGCGTGGGTAGACCTTAGAATTGTGACCTGAGATGTTGACAGAACAGAAATAGCAATCTGTACAATAATTTTGGGGTTCACGCCACACCATAGGCACCCCAAATGTTGGTCCTCCACCAGTCCTGTTTAGCCATGATGATACTGAACTAGCACACTTCACACAGCATCCATGAGGCACCCAGTTCTTGTCCTGGTCGCTGAATTTGCAACCAAAGTATAACTCATACAATTTTTTCACATGTGGTGTCAATCTTCGTCTACATCTCTTTAAGGTCAGTTTGCCAAAAATTTTGTCAGCCCGATTTTTACAAGATCTGGGCATTTTCTGTGCCAATACAATCAATAAATTACTTAGCTAACGACTCCAATTATAATAAAACAACTCCTCAGAACTACTAATCAAATGACAACTACTATTTCAACTGTCTGTGAACCATATATACACTTCATCACGGATGGTAAGGAATGCTGGCATAAGCAAAAATTGTAGGCAAGCAACGATTCTGCTGACGTAAGTGATGAAATTTTGTTGGCGTAAGGAAAGCAAATCTGCAGACGTAGGCAATATCATTTTGCCATGTAGGCTTAATGGGTTCAATTTCTTTATATACCTGTAAATGGAGAATATGAAATTGTGAATTTATATAAAATTGGAAGGTCACAAAACAAATCTGATATCATTTTTGTAATCTTCATGCCAAAATATATAAGGAAGTGCCACTGGCAGTTCCATTTTTTTCTTTTTTCTACATCTACAGTGTTATTAAAAATTAGTAAATTGATTAACAATTTTCATCATGCCTGTGGCATCTGATCACCGTTACAAATTAATTAAAATTTTAAATTAAAGGCAACCTGTGTGTAAGGTAAGGTTAAGAGGCAAACCCGGAAAACACAAAGTGGTTTTACCAGCAATATTTATTTATAGTCAACAGCTTAAAAAGACACATAAGCTCCTCCCACGGTGCAACTTAAACTAAATATAGCTTCTTGTTCGTTGCCTAGGAACCATACAGTGTACATAACTGCCATTATACTCGTAAATGGATGGTTTAAATGTTTTAAAATTTGTTGCTTGTGATGTGTTTATTCGCTCAATTAACAATGAAAAAATCATACTGAATTAACTCAACATGCACATGCATAAATGCTAGAATTATTTTTCTGCTGGTTATACGAACATTAAAAGAAAATTAAAAGAATTTTTAATAATTTTTATTTTACAATTCTTATTGAGTTTAAAAAGAAAAAACAAGAATGAAAAACGTTTGACAATGTAATCTACTTTTCAACACTTTCAGATAAAAATCGATCTAAATTTTAATCACCCTTGGTTCACGTTGAAATGTTATAGCTCAATTCCTATACCTACTTTAATGTTCAACCAGGTTGTGCTTATATAATTATTATATCTCAACTTATGAAATTTTAAAATAACCGTATTTAAACCTCAACTTATGCCTATATGACTTTGTTACACCCATGGATAAACTTAAATAGATATAATACACCTTGATATACTCAATACGTTAAATTTACAAAAATTAAATTTCCGTATTGTATTATTTCTTTATTTACATTAAAATTAAACTTAGGTAAGGCCAGAATATAACATATACAATATGAATATATGCTCTAAAGTCCATATATATGCGTAGGGCAAACTTGTAAATATATTTTGGGTATACGGCTTCAATTTACCAGCTTACGACTTTGCTATTATTATTTAGTTCGACTTTTATTTGCACCGGGGGGGGGGGAGGGGAGGAGCTTATGTGATACAAACTGTTGACTGTAAAAATAAATATTGCTGGGAAAACCACTTTAAGGTCTCCAGATTTGCCAGGTTAAAATTGTAAGTAAACAGTTTTGAATTTTAAAACTTGTAAATGTAAAGTAAATATTTAGTATTTACTATTTAGTAAATTACCTTGGCAATGCAGATGAGAGACTTCATTTGCCATCGCCGACGTTTATCCTTATCCTGTAAGTAAAGTAAAGTAAAGTTTACAGTTTACAGTGGAAAAGGTTCAGAAAATTAACGGCTAAACCGCTAAACTAAAGCAAACTTCTAAAATATAAATTTATCTCTTTTCATTATTATTAACCAACAATTATCGTTGTGCGACGTACAACGGGCAAGAGTATAAATTAACTTAAAAGTCAACTTAGATTAATAATGAAAACAACGTGTATTGTATCCGTAGTGGATGTAATACAAAACCAAAGGGGGTTGTGTCAATGATAGATTCCGATATCTTAGAAGAGATACATAATATGCCAATACTCAAAATAGCTTACACATCAATTTTATTAAAAGTCTACTAAATTTTTCATATATATATATATATATATATATATATATATATCTTGACCCGTTGTTGTTTCTCTTGGCCCGTTGTTGTTTCTCGTGGCCCGTTGTTGTTTCTGCTCTATACGTCAGAGGTATTTAACGTTGTTGAATAATTTGGGCTGACAAGTCATGCTTTTACGGACGATATTCAAACAATAGTTAGCAGTGCAATAGATTCATTCCCGTAGGAAATGAAAAGATTTGTAGAATGCTTGTCAGCTGTTGATTTATAGATGTCGCAAATTGGTTTGAAATTAAGCCGAAATAAAACTAAACTTTTGCCGGTGGAAACATGGCAGCAGTTGTCAAAATTGGAGGTAAACTCGATCACAGTTGATGAAGAAACATTTTTATTTTGTTACAATTTGGCTAATCTGGGTGTGATTTTTTATTCGAATTTAACAATGAAGCACCATATTAAGATGGTTTCAAGAAATTGCATGTATCAGATTAGAAGATTGAATCAAATTCGTGGATCATTGAACGTCTCTACGCTTCAGACGCTGGTTCATGCTTTTGTTCACTCGAGATTGATTACTGCAACAGTTTGTATTATGGATTGCCGGACAAGTCCATCCGTGTATTGCAGTCTTTGCAAAAGAGTGCGGCTATGGTTGTGGTTGGCGGTCGATGGGATGATCATGTGAAACCTATACTTAAAGATTTGCACTGGCTAACTGTGAATAAAAGAATAATTTACAAAATTTCTATTTTGATGAATAAGGTACTCACAGGTAGTGCTCCAAAGTATCTGCAGGATAAGATCAACAGTGATTTGCCCCGTCTGACCGGGATTCATCTAAGATCATTTGATATTGAATCGGTTGATAGTTCCTGCTACAAACTTATGTATTGGTTCACGAAGCTTTGCTGTTTCAGTACCGACTGTCTGGAGTGGTCTGCCGGCTTCGCTCAGGGACACTTGGTTGATCATGACATACTTCAGAAAGAAACTCAAAATATTTTTGTTTTCGTTACGGTGATATCTTAATTTTTAGAATTGTTCTATAGTGTTTTTTTGTTTTTTGTAATTATGTTGAATTGTTACAGTTTTTTGCAGCCAGACAATTATTTCTACGTTTAACTTTATTTTAGTGAGGATATGTTTAATCTTATGTTTAATTTTGTGTTATTTTATTTTTTGATGGCGCTTTTGAATTTTAACTAGCTAGCGCTAGATAAATCTTTTGATATATATATATATATATCTATGGGATAAAAATTTTCGACTTGCTCTTTTTATAAAACTCGTCAGTAGCTCAAGTTTAAACACTAACATAGCACAATTATTATCTTAGTAGACAACATTGCAAACTACAAAACGCGTCTAGCCTAAAACGAATTGGGTGTTCACAGAAACGCATCTTTTGTCGTGGTGAGACTGCAGTGGCGGATCTAACGTTTAGCAGACTGAGCAGCTGCTAGGGGCCCCGGACGGCCAAGGGGCCCTGTGTACAAATTTATCCCTCAAAAAATACTTCAAATAAATTTTCCAATATAATGAAATTTCAAAATTTGAAAAAATCATAAAATTTTAAATAATATTTGTTATTAATGGAAAGAGGGGCCCCATAAAAAAAATTATTTTATAAAAATAACTGAAATAAATTTTGAAATATAATGAAATTATTAAAAAATTCTTTCAATTACTATGCTGAATTCAACGTTAATAAGCGTTTGCAAACATTAGCAGTTTACAGTAATATGTTTGAAAACAATCTGTCATTCGTTTCGTTAGACATCCTTACTTTTCTGTCTTTAATATCGTATCGTTGTTTTGTTGTTGAAAGCGCGTGTTTTTATTTTTTAAAAAAGTATTGTGGTCAAATAATTAAAACGTTATTTAGTTGTCTGTTTTTTTCTTTTATTTCAAGTACCTAAGTGGTAAACATTTTTATTTACTTTTGATATAAATTCATTAAATGAATTTCATTTTAATTAATTACAAATGGCTTTTATAATTAATTGAATTGTTTCAATATTAAAATTCAAACTTGGCAGATAGATGCTATTAAAACGTAATTATATATTCACTTAATATATTAATGTTTGTAACAAATCTGTCGACAAAATATATTCAAATTCGTTAAAAGTTGTTTTTAGTTCAAAGATGTATATAACCTATATAGTTATAAGTTGGAAATAATTGAAAGTTAAAAAGCCTCTCCACGACACACTAAGTTTGGGGGCCCCAAATTTTTTTTTTTGCTTAGGGCCCCCGCTTGACTTAATCCGCCACTGGGTGAGAGATGGTGTACTTTATATACTCGTACTGGCCGTACTTGTGAGAGCAGGTCGGAAATTCTCACTCTTTATAAACTCACGTACTTCTGGATTCAAGTCCACTCAATATATATATATATATATATATATATATATATATTTATATATCAATCAATCAATCAATGATCCTTCTTTGTCCATCGAGGGACCGTCGAGGCCGATGGTGTATATCAGTTAAAACTTAAAAATGACACAATAAGTATATATGTATATATATATTATATATATGCTGGTAAAATACTTTAATTAATGTATTAATTTATAAAATCTACCAAATTTCTAGCGTTAGATAGTTTTTTATTACATTTATCATGACAAGAAATATTAGAAATGTTATTAGAAATTAGAAACATTTAGAAATATTGAGAAATGTGATAAAAAAATATATCTATCGCTATAAATTTTGTTGATTTTATATATATCTATATATATATACATATATATATATATATATATATATATATATATATATATATATATATATATAATTTAATTTAATAACATATATATATATATATATATATATATATATATATATATTGGTAATAAACCATAATTTTTACAATATTTTATAAATTCTACCAAATATTTTGGCGTTAATATGTTTGTAGTTCGTTTATTAAAATAACTATAAACGAACTATAAACACATTAATGTCAAACATTCGGTAGAATTTATAGAATATTGTAAATATATATATATATATAATATATACAATAATATATATATATATATATATATATATATGTGTGTGTGTGTGTGTGTGTGTAATATATTCCACCGATTTATTACAGTTTATCAACTTGTATTCGAATTTTTCAATTTTTTTCTCTCTTCGTGCTGACATCAACTTCTGGTGCTTCTGGTCTATGGTGTGGTTATTGAATCTGTTACCCGTCAACTTAAAAAGACTGGAATAAATTATTACAACCTTACCTATTAAATTAAATTATTTTTGGGACAACTAAAATATACAAAACAATTATTATATATAGAAAAAATACGAATCTTACCAAAAAATTGATTCAACTAGCGATTGAAATTAGTTTAGTCGGTAGTCAAAGCTGAAACCGAGTTATCTACTAAACTGCATAACACTTTTAAATAGAATTTACTTCTTTTGCACATTAACAAATTGTTTAAATCCAGAACCTGAATCTTTGACGGCATGAATAAAATAAGGTACAATTACATTTTTTGGAATTGTTATAGTGTCCGCACTTATATCAACAAAATGTAATCAATTTTTTCTAATAAATACAAATTGACTAGCAATATAAACACTGAAAGTAAACACTCAACACAATAAAAGCGGCCAGTAATAAAGAGTGGTATCTAAATAATCCGATAGTTATATATATATATATGTATGTGTGTATGTGTGTGTGTGTAAGTTATTGTTTGTAACTGAATCAAGACATATGTGGAAACCAATTTTTAACTCTAAAAATAAAATAATTGTATGAAATAAAAAACAAATATAAGGTAAAACGTAAAATATACTGCCAGCTCTGCCATATCAATCAATAAATAAATCAATCAATCAATCAATCTTCGTTTAGCGTCCAGAGACCCGGTTTCCCGAGGTAGAACGTTGTTTTCTTTGCCATGAACTTTTTGCGCCAAATTAGACGATCAGTTGTAACCATTTCATTTAAATTTAGAGCTTTCATGTCTTGCTCGATTGTTTGCGACCAGGACTTCTTTGGACAGCCTTTGGGACGTATTGGTTTTGTGATTTCTTTCATCACAATTATAAATAACAGTGGACTGAGAATCGAGCCTTAATGAAATCCAACGCCGATGTCAAATGCATCTGTGTTTCCAACCGTTGTGCTGACGAGAGTCTTAGTATTCGTATACATTTCCATCACAAGTCGAACAAGATATTCTGGAATGAGTTGTCGACGTAGACGCCACCTGATTGCTTCACGGGGAACTCGATCAAATGATAGCAGATGACAACAGCGATTCTCATTTCTGGATTGAGTGATGAGGCTATCGCTGCATACCTCACAATCAATGTTGGAGTAAACTGTTGACACCACCCAATCGGCTATACATGCCAAAGCATTTTTTGATTTTGAGTATGTAATAATAGGAACTAAATAATTATTAAAAAAAATCTTAGAAGGTAGAGAATCTTAGATCAATACTGGGTAATTCAAAAAATGGTAAACAACGAGTTAAAAATAAGTAAATTTAATAAATAAATGATGTTTAAAGCACAGCTTCTAATTTTTCGTCTTTTTTAAAAATGTTATTTATTTGTAAATAAAATTTTATTTTATTCGTTTTTCAATTTAATTTATGAGTTCAAGCTAAAACTCTTTTTTATTAGTTCATGAATTTATTGACTATAGAAATTAATTTGATTGATTGATTGGTTTATTTTAATAATGAAATAGGTTAACATTTGATTATAATGAACGCAAGCTGATTTTAAAATATTTATTAAAAATGGTCAGTGCTATAAGGCATTCGGATTTGCACGGCTAACACGCCGCTGAGATGCTATAAGGCGTGTGAATTCGTACGGCGAATTGAACGTGTTAATCTTAATCAATGCTATAAAGCGTGAGGCCGCACGGCGAATTAGACGGTGAGATGCTATAGGGCGTGCGAATCGTGGGTGAATACGATGCTTGAAATTATAAATCATGAGGTACCCCGCACGCCGAATTCGACGTTGAGATGCTATAAAGCGTGCGAATCACAAGCGGGCGAATACGTTTGAACGATAAAAAGCGTGAGAATCGCACGACGAATTCGACGTTAAGATGAAAATAGAAAATAACCCGCACGTCAAATTCGACGTTGAGATGCTATAAGGCGTGCGAATCACGAACGGGCGAATACGACGTTTAGACGTTTGAAATTATAAATCTTGAGAAACCCGCACGCGAAATTCGACTTTGAGATGCTATAAAGCGTGCGAATCACGAACGGGCGAATACGACATTTAGACGGTGAAAAGCGTGAGAATTGCACGACGAACTCGACGTTGATATGGCCGAAGTCTGTACAACAAAGTTGACGCTATTTTGACGATACAGGACGCAGTCAAAGCGCAAAATTTGACGTTTATACGTTTATTAAGACGATATAAAAGCATTTTTGTTATAGAATGACAATTTTTAAAATTAAACATTTATTACATCAAGTGTCATATAGTAACACACACAGACAAACACACATATTTACACAGTAATGCACACGGGTACATTGTTCATGTGTTGAGACGAAACAGTTACCAAAAGACCCAAAATTGTTATATCAACACTGTCGACAAAACCATGGCCCTTTCGGTAGCCTTTTCATTTCAACACATGAACAGTGATACTAGTTTATGCAGCCATCACACTGCACCCACGAAGTACGAGTTTGATTGTCTCTTCCAGAGTGATGTCCACAAACAACACAAACATACAAATTTTGTCCAATTGACCACATCTTATTTTCTAATTTTGTCCATGCTTCATTGGAAAAATATCGTTTCAAGGTAGACATATTAGCACGGTCATCTGTGCATCTTGGATCAATTATTTCTTTAACGTCGTTAATTGATGCTATGCAATTCGTCTGAACACAGTGTTTGGCTGTTACTTCAGATGAAACGCATGAGAGTCTGAGTTGATCCTGCGCAGACGGACGCAATTTTTCAAATGTAAGTTTGCGATGTTGAAACAGTTGTTTCCTTTTTGCTGGACGCCCTTTACGCTTGATAGCAACAGGATACAGAATGTTTGAATTTGCAGTTTGCCCATTTTCTTCTGGCGCAGTAACCTGTAAGTTATCAGCAATATCATCTTCTATGATTACTGGTTGACTGCCACTGGCCACATGATCTGCAACCTCCTTCTGTTCACTGCTGCTTGATACGTCAGCTTCAACAACCTGGTAAAATTCCAATATCGTAATTTTTTAATTTAATTAATTATTATTATGTCATATATTTTTAACTACTTGCATATTGTTTGTTGAATGTCCTGGTAATGACATTATGTCCTGGTTATGACATTAAACTGACCCTCACAGCCTTGTGAGTGATGTTGGATCATCAAAGGCTAGGCCCACCGCCTATAACGGTGGTTGCGTAAGGAAGGGCGTCCTGCATGAAGTTTGGCCAAAAAAATATTTATGATGACAGAAGTGATAATGGCCCTTAGTATTCGGTAAAAGAGGGTGCGAAGAATCCCCGGAGACCCAGTCCATGGGGTTGCGGTGCAAGGCCTTGTGGGTGGTCTGGCTACTGGCACCCCACTCTGTAGTGTGGCGGTGCAAGGCACTATGGATGGAACGATTACTTGTAGACCAAGGGGTTGGAGGTTTGGTACCTGGAATGTAGGCACGTTGACAGGAAGGAGTTTGGAAGTGGTGAAGGAGTTGCAGAAGAAAATGGTTGACGTGGCTGCATTACAGGAGATCAGATGGAAAGGAGAAGGTACAAGGTTTGTGGGGGTAAAGGTGAAAGGTATAAGTTGTGGTGGAAGGGGGATGATGGTACGGGAGGAGTTGGTGTGATGGTAAGAGAAGAGTTGGTGGCGAAGGTGTTGGAAGTGAGGCGGAAAAGCAATGGTGTAATTGTGGTGGTGATGGTGTTTGAAAAGATAATAGTGAGGGTAATATCAGGATATGCTCCGCAACAAAGTAGGAAGGAAGAGGAGAAGGATAGGTTTTGTGATGCTTCTGACGAGATTGGGCAAGCGGGGTTGGATGAGTTTGTGGTGTTGTTGGGTGATTTGAATGGTCATTTGGGGGGCGGATGCAGACAGATATGAAGGTGTACATAGAGGATGAGGAAGGGCGTAGAGTGTTGGAGTTGGCGGATGCACATAGCATGGTGGTAGGGAATACCTGGTTTACAAGGGAACCAGCACGATTAATTACATATAGGTCAGGGGAGCATAGGTCAATGATTGATAAGGGCGAAGCATAGAAAGTATGTAAAGAATGTGAAAACGATACCTGGTATGTTGCAGCATAGTATGGTTGTGATGGATGTGGCTTTAAAAGAAATGGAGAGGAGGAAGAAGGATAAGTTTGTGGCAAAGAGAAAGACATGGAAGTAC